ATATTTTAAAAACACTCTGCAAGTTCTCTGGACAACCAACATGTCACAATAACATATATGTTATTTTGAACTGAGACTGAGATATGCCAAATAAAGGCAGAGATTTGGCTGCAGAAGCTGATACTGTCGTCATCCTACTCTGTGCCTTACACACCAGACTCACCACTGCAGTTTCTAAGTACCTTCCACTTGTGCACTGAGTGCTGACAATGACATGTTGGTTGTCTTAACATTTCTGCAGTAAGAACTGCACTGGAGTGTTTTGTTTTGGACCCTTTTTGTAATGCACACCGGCTCATATACATAAACACACATACCCTCCACATTCTGTTGGCTTTTTTTTAAAGAAAGCAAGTTCAAGAAGATGGTAGTGTATTTTTGTGTGTATACATTTGAGGATTTGCGAGTGTCCTTCTAAGGGAGGTTACTCAACAGGTTCCTTGGGGAACAGTCAGTGTATTGAAGCTGTCGCATATATGATTGCTGAGTGGGTACTGGAAAAGAATCTTTGACTTTTGTAAATTAAAACGAGCACAGAGAGAGCAGAGGAAACCAAGAATATAGTCTAGGTCATTTGGGAGTGAGGGGGGAATTTAAACTGATTTCTTCAAACTGATTTGCTGTAAATGTTCCAGCTTTTTGCTTTTAAAGGAGAGAGTGTCAGAGATACCAGATTTTTTTTCCAGTTCTCAACAATCTTCCTTAACTTCACTAAAATATGGTTCTGTGATCCACTGGTCTGAGCATGAGGCACAGAGGTACTGGGTATAAAAATACGGGTTACAGAAAAGGAGAAAGAAGATAAAAGATTCGGGTGTACTGGCAAGAACTGAATGAAGAAAAAGAAGCTCCTACCTGAGAGGGAGATTGATCTGCTTAGTATCATAGAATCATTACAGTAGGAAAAGACCTCTAAGATCATCAAGTTGAACTGTCCAACCATCCTTCACATCTGTAGGGTGCAAAGATTTTGTATGAAGGGAACAAAAAAAAGATGTGAGGAGTGGGAGAGCACACTTTTCTGGCCAAGAGAAAATATTTCTGTGAAATGCTGTCTTCTAGTTTTAACAGACACATGTAGATCTGTGAAGGCATTGCTAGAAAAGCATTAAACTTTGTACTGCAAGAACTACAGGGTTTGAGGAACTAAAGATCTGAACCAGAACCTTGCTGTTTGGGGTTTTTTTACCTGCTTTCAATCAGAGAATCACAACAGAGAAGGCTGCATGGACCTGCTATATACAGTTCTAAGGTGAAAAACTCGTTAGTCTGTGAACACCTAATGGGGAAGAAGCTTGGTGAAAGGAAAATTAGTGTGAGATAGTAAGGTATTCACTTGTTTGTTGCGTCACTGTTACAAGGTACAGCAGCATCCAGGCAGATCAATAGCAGTCTTCTGAAGCTGTGCGTTTCAATTGGTTCAGCTGGCTTTTTGGGGTCAAAATCTGTTTTGACATCCTTCCTCTGTGTCTAGTTCTTTAAAACTGCTCAAGAACATGATTTGCACCTTGTGTTGCCATGACTTTGAAAAAATAAAAAAGCACCCCAGATCTTCTCGTTAGAGAAGTGAGAAGCTGCAGAGTTTCACAGAGATAGCAACAGAGCTCGGTGTTCCTACAGGAACAAGCTTAATAGCAGTACTTCCCAGCTTTAAGTAGAAGGCAGCTTTGGGAAGGAAAAAAAAGTATCATTGACTAAAAAAGTTTGGTTTCTTGTGGATTTACTGTCATTATTGATTGCAAGCTGTGACTGAGGCTTTTCCCTTTTTAGGGCATTTATAGGTACTGTTTCACATGTAGATCCTCTGCTGCATAATACAAGCAGCTCACTTTTTGGCTTCCCCACTGTGGGAATTCTAAAGAGGTTTTTTGTCCTCTACCATACACTAGTTGTTGACCTGGATTTAACATGCTGTGAGAACAGGTTAAGGATTAACAGATCCATAAATTTAGAAGGACATAATGAAACACATGTAAAATGTGATCACTTTATCAAGTTAAAAATACAGATTTTCAACTTTAACAATGATTTGTGAAATCTTTTAAGGTGAGAAGGGGAGTGGTAACACTGCTTATTTTATCTAAAACTTTTTCTGTATTGTATAGTATATTTATACATCACAAAAGTATATTCAGAATAAAAACCCTTGTTGCCTATGATTTAAGCTGTCAAATAAAAAAAGTGTGGTTTTTTTCTAGCAGAAGAAATGTATTAGCATGCAGAAAGCAATGCTGCTTCCTCTGGGAGGTTTTAATCAGACCTCTCGTACTGATTGAGATGCAGTGCTCTAAAGTGAGAAAAATTATTAACAAAATCAAAAATCCAGAGTGTCTTTCACGCCAATGTTCATCAGTGTATTTTATGTGATTACATAGTCAATAAATCAACATAGTGTGTAAGTGCTTCAGTCATGGTGTAAATATCTTAATGACTGAAACATCTTCACACATGAATAATGTATACCAGTATGATTCATTTGTCATATCCATGCTTTACTTCAACATGAAAAACTAATCCTTCTCTGTCAGGGAATGTGTGCTTGATTATTGCCCTCTGATTCCTCTTCCTTGTGCTTATTTTCCACAGTTAGGCACACTCCATTTCTTCTCTTCTGGTTCCTCTAATGTAGTTATCTTATTTTTTCGCCCTGTCTGCCTTGGTTTGCCTTCTCACTGCATTTCAACAGACACCTGGGAAATAACACTGGGGCATAAGCTGATTGTGTGTTTCTCAAGTAACTGGAAAAAGGACCAGCATCTTGAAAGGTTTACACATCCTCAACAGATATTTGCATTTAGTTTCCTCTCCTTGAGGCAACCATTGCAGAAAGAACTTAGGATAGGCCATTAACAAGTTGGGCTTTGCCATTTTCTGGATCAATGTGAGTTAAAACCTTTGTCAAGGTACTGATGACAAACATTGTTTGAATCTTCTTGCCATATGTTTGTAAATGCAAAACTTGTTTGTAGTTCCAGAAAACCACTGGAACGTTCAAGACTAAAATAATTGTTTCTCAGTGCAGGAATGGGAATAGAGAATACTTAAATTCTGCTTGGCTGCACATGCTTATTTGACTGTATGCAAGTCACTGCATGCATCCTGCCTTACTTAGACATTTAGACCCCTAACCAAGACATCTAAGACATGAGTTTGATTGTGATAAACTCCTTTATTTACTAGAGAAAGACAGGTTGCTGCTGAGGGCAGTTGACCCAGCTTTAAAGCTACTTAGTGCTTGAAGCTCCAGGCAGAAATGCTCTTCTTTTGGCTCAGAATTTGAAGATAAGTTCAGGTTTTTGGAGCAGCTTATTTTGGTAGTGTCTGTGAAAGTTCAGCCTTTAAAAAGTCAGTCCTAGTTGAGCTTAAAAAATAATCACTCAGATTTAATGGGCACTTTCAAAAGTACTGAATTGCACCTTCAAATCCTCAGGTTTGTAACTTGAAAAAAAAAACTCACCTGGAATATAAAAATTAATTCAAGTTGTGGGGGGAAAAGGAGTCATATCGGAGTCATTCTCCGATAATTAACTGATACTTTTCTGAAATTGCCTGTTAATTCCATCCATGCACCTTTTTTCACTTCATTTCTATATGCAGTTTACCTACATTACTCTCTAACAAGGAGGAGCACCTTAGCTGAGCCTTAATCACTCATTCAATTTCTTGTATCATTATATAGCATGCTAGTTTGGTATGAGAGTATTGTTTCACAGTCTCTTCTGTGTCAGTATTACATTTTTGGACTATTTTTTTAGATTTAAGACTGAATGCAATATCTTACATCTGTCCTCTCCTCCATACTTGGAAGCCCAGCTGCAGTTCTTTTATATCTTCAATCTCAGTGACTTCTGAGACATCACAGTTGAATGTTGTCTTCGTATCCTCACAGCTGTCTCCCGTACGCTGTGAATACGAACCTCTCTTGTTTGCTGGCAGGACATTTGGTAACTTTGTTCCAACGTAAGTCTTTATTTATTCAGTTTTTCCTTATTCTGATTGTAAAGACTTCCAAAGGCTTCTAATACTACTTTATTTGTCTCAGTCTTTTTATATCCTTAAAGGACACCTCCTCTTACTGTATATTATTCCACTGAGATCAGTTGTTGATCCATGGGTATTGATTAGTAGGAGATCTCAGCCAGTCTCCAGAATGTACTTCACCCTGATCACTACCTGCTTTGTTTTGGTATTTAGGAAGAAGCTTGCTGTCTTTTTGCTTTGTTCTGTCTAGCACTTGTCTTTCTTGGGTATGCTTCCTCATCACAGTCATCGATCACGACTGTTCCTCCCTCCTATTTTCTGCTTTCTCTTTTTCAGCGTTGGTCATTTACTACTTAAGCTCTGTTGCAAGGCAGTAGTTTATCAAGTGATAGGATGTTACAAGAATCTTCTGAACCTCCTCACATGTATTTTGATTTAACTCCTACTACTTCTAGCTGTCATGCCTCCTGCACCTTCACAATTTTCTCCTAAATTATCCTTTATTTTTGTGAGGGATTTCTCGAAGACCTTTTCTTCACCTTCTTCATTTGATTATTATAGCTTTTGTCCACAGCCCTTCACCTTCTTTTGTAAAATTTAATTCAGCTTTCTTCTCTAACCTATTCAGTTACTCTTTCTTTTTTTCAGATAATTTTCTATTTTTTAATTAGTTACTGTTTTGCAGCATTTCTGTTTTATATTCCAGGTAATTTTTAGCTTCAGTTGTTCAAGAGAATGATTTGCTAACACATCTTGGTTCCCTCATCTGGTCCATCTCTGATTCTGATACACTCAAACACTTTTGGAAATCCCAGAGTCACAAACTTCCTCTTGCTTTTATAATTTTCATCATTAAGAGCTGATTAACTGATGCTATTCCAGAATTTCATGAAGTGGCATGGTGTCTGGTTAGAGAAATAGAATAGCCATGGAGATTTTATTTTATGTGGGGAAAATGTGAAAATGGCATCAATACCACATTGGTATAATACTGATCTTCTGTTGTCTAATTTTAACAGATTCCGTAGCAACAGCGTCTGGACCACTGCTAGTTGAAGTTGCCAAAACTCCTGGTGCTGCTCTTGGGGTTGCACTAACTACCTCGATGTGCTGCAACAAACAGGTCATTGTCATAGACAAAATCAAATCTGCAAGTATTGCAGACAGGTGAGTGTGACAGAGGGCTGACACTGCAGGTCCATACATCCATTTTATTTCTGTTTGGTCTGGTTTTAAAGGAACCCTTTCCTTTTTTGATAAAATGACTGAACCAGATGCTCTCAAGGTTGCATGTCTTAAAATTAGCACTTTCTCAGATCGTTGTTCCGTACTGACAAGTTTAAGGCTTCCAGGACACCATTTACTTTAGCTGATTCATGTAGTATCCAGTGACATAAGCCAGCCTCATGCAATATGTGACCAGCAGCTTGCACTGTACAACACAGGAGTTTAGAGGTCTGCTCTGGCTATTAAATGTAATATCATGGCAGAGATTAGTATTTAAAAAATAAATAACCCACTGGAATTCTTGAAGTAAGCCCACAATATGGAACAGCTGTCAAGAGAAGTAAATTTTGAGGCTCTGCAACCTTGAAGTGTTCTTTTAGAATATATCACTCATTCTTGTGGCACAGTGAAATAGAACTACTTATATCTGGATTTTTTATTGATATTTTAGAATACAAGTGACGTATTAGGAAGGCTGGCTTACGTGTTTTTAAGTTCTTTTGCTGTAATTTTTCCACTTCATTTTAACCTTTAATTAAAACCATTTAAACCATTAAAAATATAGATAGATATTTTTCCCCGGTGCTCTGAACCTCTGTAACAGAGCCACAGGATCTTTACTGGGGTGTGTGCGTGCGTGTGTGTGTGTCTTTATACATATACAGTATATTCTTGTATACATATCTCTATCTAAAAATTTTTTAAATGTTACGTTTCAGCAGCAAATTCCTCCTGCATGTCCCCAGTCACCCTACCTTGTAACTCCTCTTTGCCAATGGTGCTTTTGGTAGCACCCACTTGTAGCAGTGAGTCTACAGCTCCTCTGTGGGCTTTTCCCTACAGTAGAAACTTTGAGTGACGGCCATTGATCCAGGGGTGTTCTCCAGTTCAATGGTGCAGGATGCTTTAATTTTCTCCCTCTGTTTTTTCCCATTTCGCAGGGGGTAACCAATTAAAGGAGCTGTCCACTTGACTGGTACGTCGGGATGCTGACTGCTGTGTTTGCATTTCTCAACTCATCCAGTAGCCAGTCTTTTGAGTGCAGCGAGATTTAGCAGATAGCCCCCTTCCCACCCTACTCCTCAAGTCACTATGCTAGCCCTGGTTTCATTATTTGTTTGACTACTGCATAATTCATCATCATTTACAGCTTTTGTACTAATAAATGTTTGAACTATAACTCAAAAAATGATGAACTGGGTGCTTGTGTGAGGGATATGTGACCAAGTTATTTAAGTCTCCTTAAGCTCTTCTCATTTATCCTGCTGCCATTCACACATATTTTTAAAGTCAGCTACCCCATTCCAGTTCTGTGAGTGATGTCTTGGCATATGTTGTATTAACTGAATTGTTTTTAAGGTTTGTACTGATAGATATAAAGTCTGACCAGTGACAGTGCCTACAAAACACAAATGTCTCTCGAAAAGAAAGAACACGTTGATAGTTGTCATGACCAGTTTGAAGGCAGAAAAACTCATTTTGCAAGCAAAGAGCATACCTGATCATACCGAGTTTTTCCCCTTTTATATAGATGTGGTGCATTACATGTAGGAGACCATATTCTGTCCATTGATGGCACCAGCATGGAGTACTGTACGCTGGCAGAAGCAACACAGTTTTTGGCCAATGCAGCAGATAATGTCAAACTTGAGATCCTTCCCCATCACCAGACACGGCTAGCACTGAAAGGCCCAGAGCACGGTAAGAGGATCTGTAGCACCAAATGCATCTTTTTCTTTCTTTTACTTTGCCTGCCCTTGCTGAATGGCCAAGAAAGCTATCGCAGCATTTATGTCTTTAAATGTTGTTTCAGCTCCCCACATTTTGCTTCTGCAATATCTGAGCAGGTCTGTGTTTTCTCAGTCTTAAGGTATCCTCCGAGACTCCTATGGCTAGAGAGGGAAATGTTTTGCTAAGAAATGGTCTGCATACTTGTAAATGTACATAAAGCACCTGTTGACTCTACTGTTGCAGTCGTTGGGGGGGCTACAAGGTAGTTCAGTAAATGAATCTCAAAATTGCTTCTTAAATTTAGAATGGGGAAGAAGAACCACAGCCAATTTATTTTCAGCATATTGACTTGGTAGTCTGTTATGATCACTTCATTAATAACACCTGTTCTCCCCTAAAATACTTACCCCCCCCCATATTTTCTCTTTTTAATGACATTATTATTTATTACCGTTATCTTTTAAAGTACTTCTGAGATTGCTTCTTGGGTTCATTGTCAGTGCTTATGGAAATGGTTTGTTTGGAAACAGTTCCCTAGATCCCAGACCTTTTACACTGTGATATTTATTTCATAACAAACATTCTTGAATAGAATGGCTTTCCATTTTCAACTCATATATATATAAAATGTCTATGTATTTGAAGATGGAGGCTGCCTGTCTTGTCTTCTGACTCATCCTGAGAAAGTGGCTAATTCACAGTATTCATAAATTCAGTCTAAAATACTGCATGTTGACGGACATGAAAGAAGTAGGGTTATCAAACACACAGAAGAAGGGTTATCAAATACACAGATAACAGATAACTGTGTTGCAGCATGAACATGAAGCAGTGGTATTATTTTCTGAGCCTGTAATACTGTACTTCTGCCTCCTTTAGACCAAGACAAAATTTCTGAGGCCTAGAAATGTCAGTGATGGTAGATGTTCTTGGACATCTATCTAAGATCCAGGCTGTCCCTTGATAAGTGACGCTCTAGTCAGCTTCTCAAGAGTGATGAACATTGAACTAGTGACTGAGGAGACACTAGTTTCTCACAGACCAGGATGAACAAAAAGTAACCCTTGTTCTTCCATTATTCAACTCTTTCCCTTTTCTACTTAAAGCTCTTAGAAGGACAAAGGAGCAGAGAGTGATACTGCATAGGCAAAATGAGATGGAGACCAAATTTTGCAATATATTTCCATTCTGTTCAGTTATGACAGTACATTGCAAACAGACCTTTCATTTTTTTGAAGTAAAGATGCCGCACAATTAATTTCTGGCTGGTTAAAGAACTTTTGAAGAGTGTTTCTTTTGGGAAGACAAGTGCCAGAGCCAAAGATTTGTGTAGATGACTGTATTACTTGAAGCAGTTCATTTGTTAACCAACATTTAAAACAGATTGATGCTTTTAATGTTCTAGGCACCTTGACCCAGTGTAGATGCTTAGAAAAAGCGATGCTCTTGCTATGCCAGAGTTAAGAACTGGCTGATACAAAATCATGCCAAGGTGATCTGCGAATGATATATAAGAGCATCTTTTGGGGAAAAGTATCCCTAAGGTAATAAAGTTGCTTTCTTAAGCAGTTACTTTCAACAAGGCAGAATAAATAGGATGTTTACAGCCCTACCCAGCCCCTTACCAGGTGGTGCTGCTCCAATAGGATGACCAATTCAGGATACAACATGCTTTATGGAAGCAAGTACTCTCCTGGAAACAACCTTTCATCAGGTGTGGTATGACCTAGAGGCTGCAGAGAGTAAAAATCTCCCTTTATGTGTCTGGGATAAGCTGAGTCATTAGGGCTGTATCTGTTGAGCTCAGTTATTGGTCTTGTGGGAACATGTTAAGAATTTAAAATGGACGCGGAAAGTCAGTATATAAAATAAATTGAAATTTTAGCTGTAAAATAAAATGAACGGCACTATCAAAGATTTGATTTTTTTCATGTTTTTTTTTCCTTTATACTGTGTTACTGACATTCATTTCTCTTGCTGCCCCATTAGTTTTATGTTTGCTGTACACAATGCTGGGTTGAAATAGCTCAAATTACCACTAAATTACTACGGTTACACACAACAGGATTTTCTTTTACAGAACTTTTGTCGAACTGGGATTATCCTTCTACAAGCTGAGCAAACTGAATATGTGTACCTTCCCACTTTGTAGGACATTTTTATCTCTACTCTCAGCATGAAAATAAAACATTTTTAAAAGGTCTCAAAGACTACCAGATAATTTCCTGCTGGAAATTATCTTTTTAATTAAACAAGGCTTACAGCAGCTTCAAAATAATGAAAATCTACCTGGCCACATTGTTCTTATCAGATTTTAATTTTTGCACCATAGTTCAGAAATCTCACTGTCTGTGCGTGTAATCAAAGAGATAGTTTCACCTGAGAAGACACAATAAGTCTGTGAGATACATATGGCCATATCAGGCTGCTGATGCTGCTGTTTCTGGGACTTTTCTGGCTTACGTGAGATCTTCCAAAGTTCCTGAGGGTGGTGATGCCAGTGGTCCCCAGGGGCCCAGGCTGGTCTGGTGCTGGTGTCGCACCCCTCCCTCACCTTTGATATCTATTATGGGGGAAAAAACGTAGTTCTTTTGATTGAAACACATGCTAGGGCACAACAGGGTGCTCTCAGGGAGGGACACTGCTCCTGGGAAATCCAACCAAAGGCACAGGGTGAGACCTGGCAGTTCCAGGGCCTCAGGGTCCCCACCACTCCACCAGGTTGCAGGGACACAGTGGGCCCCTGTGCTCCCCTTTTCCTCTCCCTTCGCTGGTGTGCACTTCACACTGTAGTGACAGGCATTGCTTTTGAGTCAGAGGAGGGTTAGTATAGTCAGGCAATTAGCAGACCATTACTCATGTAGTATGAAGTGAAACAAAATGATGTTTTCCTTCTGGCACGGCACAGTGCTTGCTGCGGTGGCTACCCTTTTTGCCCTTATTTTGTCTCATGGAGTAAGATGTGAACACAAGATGTGGGTCCAGCTTAAACGCTCAAGGTTTTGGGCTGCTATTAAAATCCAGCATGTGAACATATGTGTCTTCAGCCATTATAGGTATAGCAGATAGGAGAGAGACACAAGTAATACAGCTCATGAGCCAAAGATGGCAGCTTCTCTTTCATAGAAACTGAAAAAGGGCAGGTTTAGATTAGATATCAGAAAGAAATTCTTTATTGTAAGGATGGTGAGGCACTGAAACGGGTTGGCCATGGAAGTTGTGGATGCCCCGTTCCTGGTAGTGTTCAAGGCCAGGTTGAATGGGACTTAGAGCAACATGGTCTAGTGAAAGATGTCCCTGCCCACAGCACTGAGTTTGGAAACTAGATAATATTTAATGTCCCTTACAACCCAAACTGTTCTATGATTCTGTAGTATGGGTGAATCCCTTGGTGTTTTAAAACAAAAATTCAGTGAATAGTTCCCAGTTTGAACTGTTCCTTTATGGTTCAGCAAGGATAGAGACATGCTGAATTTAATGATGGCATACTGTATTTAATCTAGGGTGACTTCAGTCACTTTCCTTTAAGATTTGACAAATCAACTAAAATGTTTCCCATTCTCTTGGTAAATACTGGTCTTCACTTTTGACATATCCCAGATTCCACGTCATAGAATCAACAATCAAATATAGTCTCAGATTTCATCCAGTGAAGGATCATTTCAAAGTTTTGAAGATCAAGTTAAAAAAACCCCAACATTAAATTGCACTTCCAACTAACCAACAAGACGTTTCTTCTTTATTAACCATATTTCGGGATAGAGTTTTCCAGCTGCTGGCCTGGGGAAGTCCTTTACTGCACAGAATAGCATAATATCAACAATAGATGGTGGTAAAATTAAAATGTCAATACAGTAAATTGAAATGGCAAGTAAGCACCTTCATTCTAGGCAGTGCTATGTATAGTACCTGGTTGGTCTTTTTAAAGTAGATGAATGCAAGCAGAGACTTACTAACCTTCATTTAGTGGTCATATATAGTAACTTAGCGTTTTCTAAGAAAGTTTGCAATCTTAGCTACTATACCAGAGTGAGATTAGAAATTGATTCAGTAGACATCTTTTTTAAAACAAATACAAAAAGGCAAAACCCCACAAACAATAAGAAGCATTTTTTCTGAGAAAAAATATTATTTCTATTCCTCGAGTTATCAAGCCCCAATAAGAAGACAAGACCAGGTTATATTTTATTTTATTTTATTTTATTTTATTTTATTTTCAGTTTATTTTCTTTCTTTTACTTCTGTTTTTTTGTCTGTGCAATTCAGTTACTTTTACCTCTTCTCTGGTCCTTTTGTTTTCTGATTTTCCATCATCCCTTCATGTGAGCAGTGAACGTTCAAAGAAGCAACAGGCAACTTACCTGGGATTCGTGTGCCAACAGCCACGGCAGCCTCCTCACCTACCAGCATTATAACACCTACCACCCTGACCATTGCAGGATGCCAGCCTTGAAATTCCAGAAAGCGCCTCCTCAAAAAAACCTTCGTAATGTTCCACACTTCTTCCTGCTGACATACTCTCTCCTCCTCTTCTTCTTCCTCCTCCTCCCTCCTCTCTTCTTTCACTCATACTTTTCCCATTTCAGGCTCTAAAATGTTTTTAGTTTTATGGATGCTATCCTTTTTCATAGCCATGCCAAAGTTATTTCTGACATTTTGCACCTTTTCCTTTCTGTAACAAAGCAGGTTTTGTAGACAGGAAAAGGCTTGAAAATTCTGAATGAATCAGCTCTTCTGTTATATATGAGTAGACCATTAGATTCGAGTAGTGTATATAAAGCATGATTTTTGAATGCAAAGCACTGCTTACAAATCTTTAGTCAGAAATTACGTACCACAAAAAGGCATTTCTAAAATCAATGTATCTAGACATACTGATCTGCGTTGGTTTGTGGATATGTGTTGAAAAATTTAATTTAACATGCTTCACTTAAAATGAGTTGTATACTATGAATGTACTTTTTGTATTTACATTATCTTTGTTAGCTTCCAGTGAGTATTTTCATGAGATGCTGGCTATATTTTTTTTAGGGTCACCTGTGTGGTTTAATGTCTTTGTTACTGGAAATGCACAAACCATTCCTGTGTATCATACACAGCATATACATACAATGTTTGATTCATTGATGAGTTACAGGCATGTGCTGCACTCTTCCCAGAAGACTGAGTGCTGTATGCCAAGTGTTTGATTTCTTACAGCAGCTCTGGTGTCTTCATCCTTCTCTCCTACCTCCATGAGTGCATACAGCCTGAGTTCCCTGAACATGGGAACCTTACCTCGCAGCCTCTACTCCACCAGCCCACGTGGGACAATGATGAGGCGGAGGATGAAAAAGAAGGACTTCAAAAGCTCCTGTAGGTGGTAACAACATTTGCTCAAAATGTGCAGTGAATGGGTGGAGGAGGGGGAAGATACAGAAGAAAAGGTACTCCTAAACAGGAGAGAGAATAATTGGAGTTTCTGTTAGATGTAGGGAAACATCAGCGTAAAAATATTTGTCCAATGCTAAAAGGAGATGAGCAGATATCATGCAGCAATAACTGTCTCATCTGAAATATATGAAGGAATGTTTTCTTCAGACAGTTCTGGAAGAGTTTGTTGTACCGAAGTGGTTTTCAGATTCCTTTTTCAACTCTTCCAGTTTCCATTAGGGAATAGAATTCATAGCGGAATAGTCAAAAACATATTGCTGGTAAACTCAACCAGCTATCACATTATGGAAGACAAAGAGCTTGCCGCAGCACCTCCTAGGTAGTTCTGATGTTTACAACTACACCATAACCTGTACAGTTATTTTTGTGAGGAAGAGCAACAAGTAACAGTAAAGACTAAATAGCCTTATTTGACTAATCTCTGGACTTCAAAGCATGGATTTCCTATGAGTCAGTAGTTTCCCAAGACAGGGTAGATACATTTCAGGCTGTTCCACTTTGTATATTATTGAGTATTCACAGGGCAGGAGAGAGTATGGCTGTGTCAGCATTTTGTTTCCCAGACTCCATGTATGTGCCACCTCTCCTTTTGGCTTGTCCCTCTTTGTGTATCCTCAGCAGTTCAGTTCTTCCAGAGCAGGGAGGTGAGAACTGCCCTGTAAATCATCTACTCTGGTTAATAATGCTCAGAGGTCCATTCTGGAAGAACTGAGCTGCTGTACATTACAGTGCTGCTGCCCTGTTTTGAAGATTGCCCACGTCATAGCAAAATCAGAGCAAATCAGCAGCCTCTAAGGCCGGTCACTATGGAACTGTGACGACACGTTAGAGAGGAACTGAGGTTTTGCTTTCTTGCAGCTTTTGTTGTTTGCTTGTTCTTATTTCTTTCATAAAGCAAATATTTTTGCATAACATTTGCCTGTAAGTGCATTTTTTCTTTTTAATCCGATCAGCCATTTTTCACAGCTCATCTGTTGACATGTTAGCTTCTAATGCATTCTTTTGGGTTATGGGGAGATACTTTGGTAACAGTAGGGGTCCAGGTCTCACATGTTCTCATGCACATGAGAAACAGTAGTGGTATTACATTAGTAGTAATTGATTGAACATCAATTTGAAAATCAATGCAAAAAATAGTTCTTCTGTTGTGCTATATTTTAGCTGTTCAACAAAGGATAAAATCCTGAAAGCTAGTCCTTTTATGGATCTTGGAGACAGCTGTTACTTATCAAGTTCTTCAGGTATTTTTCCTTCAAGGAAGCCTTGCCCTATGGCGTGTTATCTTGCAAAGGCTCATAACAAGGCCAGTGACACGGCATGTAAGTGGGACAGTCACATAAGCACTGTAACCTACATGAAAGATTCTTCAAGTCAGAAGGCCTTGAAGGCTGCTATGATTAAACAAATCTCTAGCAAGGAGAAGCTAGAATGAGGCTTTGTTGTGGGTTAGTTTATTATGCATTTGCATTGTGAGGTCTGGATATAGAATGTTACAAAATATGTGGAACTGACCCCATCACTGAGTGAGTCTGTGCTTTGCTACAAGCAGTGACTACATCAACAACCCTGAATCAGAACTGGCTTTGGAGGAATTGGCTGGCCAACCAGGCTTGCCTCCTCTTTCTGTGAGCTCGCTTATAAGTTCATGCAGACTTCTTTACTCTGTTGTTAGATCTATACCCCGTACTCATGACAGTAGTAACAATCAGCTTAAGAGACCCACACTACTCTGAGTGTGCTACAAGTGACCATGATAGAGAACGTCTGCTCCTGTACCTTTCCACTATCCATGGATAAGACTTGGAAAACCTTGCCCCTCCCCCTTTGTGGGAGACTCATGAGAACCAGGTAGATTGACTGCTGTCCTTTTCATAGAAAAGGAATAGCACACTCTCTTAATTTTAGTTGGATATTTTTTTCTTTAATCCGATTGGATCATTTGAGGATTGTATTAATGTAACTTATAATAAATCTATAAGGATGTCACTTGGGAAGAAAAGTATGTAGGGTGCCATAAAGTTTGCATTGCCAATTATTTAAGAAAACTTGCATAATGTAATGTGATGGTGAAGTGCGATGGCAGAGGGGGTTACAAGACTTTTATGACCATGATTTTACAATCATTGCATTAGTTACACAGATCTTTCCAAACGTGTGGTTGTAAAAATTGAGGGCATGCCCTGCTGGCACATGCTTTATTTATGCCACTTGTTTTCAATTTTTATTCTTCCACCTCTTTTGTTTGTTTGTTTTAAAGTATGGTATTCATTGTGGAAACACTTAGATTATTTTTGGGTTAAAGTTTAAATTGTGAAGTATTTTGTAAAAGGTCGACATTAGTAGTTGAAAGTGAGACATAATTTATATCAGTTTACATTACTAGGGTTCCATATCTGGTAGAAATTGGAGAGGCTGTTAGACATGCATGGGTGTTGTTTTCTCAGCAGCTACCAGGAGAAATAGTGAACATTTTGCAGTTTCTGGAAGCGTATCCATGTATGTACCTTTGAATACATCTTGCTCTGCTTCTCATATAACTACAGGAATAAAAATAACAAGTACATAATCTTCAAATTCAAGATCATTATTTACATAACTTCAGGGCATACAGCAAAACAGCCCCCAGGACTGTTGCTAAGAGTTAGACAAAAACTATACAAGTATGCTGAAATGTACCCCTAGCAGTAGCAACCAGGGTTCACTGGAAGTACATATACATCCATGTCACTTTTAAATCAATGAGGCTGCTTCCTGGCCTGAAAAATTCTAATCTATCAGGCAGCTAAAAAATGGAAGTGTTTCTTGCTGCAGTTATTGTTGAGTTACAAACCACAACATTCTCAAAGTCATGGTTTTGGGTACCTGTTACATTTTATAAAGGCTTAGCAGATAGCTATTGTTACATAATTTGGAGAAGATATTTTTATCTCTGCTTTTTTTTGTTCCTGTTTCTCTTTCATTTTCATTGAGAGTGGAAGGATTTTCTAATTGTCACTTTTAAGTGTCGACATCATCAAAATGTTTATCAGAGTTATAAATCCCATAGCTAGTGACTTAATTTCCCAATGTGAATTAAAACTTTAGCTGTCCTAAAAGTTGAAGTAAATTTTATGAGACATTTAGATTCCTGGTAGGGCATTATAAAAAGAGTAAGAAAGTTACAGAGTCAGCTAGATACCATACCTACTGCATGGGGGGAATAGACACATAAGTGATGGGAAACAACGATGAAGCTAACAAGTAATTGTTATGTGACCTTTAAGAAAGGGAAAATGGAACTTTTCTGAGATTGGATGCCCTAAATTTTGGCATTTCTAGAAGGTGTGTTAGGGAATCTGGTATTATATTAACTCTGAATTTATTTGGTTTAGTCGTATTTTAGCCTCTGCAGCAGTGAGAGCTGGAGGAAACTTTCTGATGTGCAGTAAATGTTAAAGCTGGTGGCAGTTTCTAAGAACAGATTATTAGTATTTGTGTTTCTGTATAAGCATGTCTTACTGAGTACAGGTAAAATAAACAGTAAGAAGGAAGCTATTCAGTAGCTGAAGTAATATACAATTCTTACATAAGAAAATTAATATATGAGGGAAAATTCACAGTAATTTGGGCAACTTCAGAGTGGAAAGAAGCTTTGCTTGAAGAAAACAGAAATTCATGAGATTTTTGGCTGGTGAAACTTTTCCGAAGAACTGTCATTGCCAACTGTGCCACATCAATAAGATTTTATATGAACTTTAAGAGCAAAAGTCTAATGCTTGCAGCCCCAAAAATACTTATATAACCTCTGACATCTTTGTACAGTTGTGCTAATAGTATCTATAAAGTCAAATCAAGAATTAATTTTTTCCCACATCTGAGAGAAAAAAAATCCATTTGAAAACTATCCTTCAGATAAACCATGAACTTTTACCTAATTCTTAGTAGCTATTGCAGGCAGAAATGGGTCTTGAGAGAAATTAGAGGTGCAAAGGTAATGGCGTAGGTTATTAACACAAAACCATTCCAAATCCTCGGCACTGAAGGATTATCATTACTGAACGGGAATTGAAAAACTCTAGCTTTCTGTGCAGGACATAATAAAAGGCAGTAGTTTGTCACAGGGGGAATTCAAACAATGATACAGTAGATATTTAGACAGAGATCAAGGAAGCAAAGGTGCAATCTTCTCCTTTCATAGGTAATTGCATTGAATCTCAACTTTTTTTTGTCTTGATTTGTTCTGTACTACAGCCTTTCATAGAAAGAGTGAGAGGGAGAGTAAATCAGGAGAACAGAAGTAGCTGCCTGTGTTTCTCACAGAAGGGTCCCCCAGTGGCTTTGAGAGACCCCAAAGAACTTTTTTTTCACACAATATCTTGAGATATACTGGTTGCTAAAACAGTAGGGTTTGTTCACCTTCCTTACAATATCCAGTTAACCTGACAACTTGCTGACTCGTAGTAAACATGTACAAGAAGAAGGCATCCTTACTTCTTGCAAACAAGCCTGATGCATGTGCTTTGTTGCTAATAACAATGCATTGCTCTGAGATGTTAAAAAGAGCTCATGCAAATTGGCCTGAATAACAGCTGGGCTTGTGCCTCTAATTCCCTTAGCTCCTGGGAAAATTCTGCTTATCCACTCCTCAAACCTGATGTAAACAAAATTCAAGGATGTTTTGAGATCTTTGGAGTGGGGGTATCAAACACATTTATTTTACTCATTACAAGAACTATCTTTCTGCATTCTAACGTACAACCAGATGTTTTCTATTCTCTTATATGTCATAACTGTTTATGCATTATTTATAAACTTTAGCCTAAATTGACTTTAAAAGAGATGTTTCATTGATTCATTGATTTACTGTACAGATGAATTTTCTCAAAAGGCAATGAAATTTCTGCTGTGTATGAATGTTTTTCCTCCTGGTCTGCTCTGTTTTATAGTGTCTTTAGCCTCTAGCACTGTTGGTTTGGCTGGGCAGGTCGTCCACACAGAAACCACAGAAGTAGTGCTGACAGCTGACCCCATAGTAGGGTTTGGGATACAGCTCCAGGGTAGTGTGTTTGCTACCGAGACCTTGTCTTCTCCACCTCTCATTTCCTATATTGAATCTGACAGTCCGGCGGAAAGGTGAGGTTCTTTCAATTGACTTCTAAGTATGTTTTGGTGAGTGTTTCTTGGGGTACTTTGGACTGGTTGCTTTCAATTTGTGACAAATTGCAGGGCCTTGTTCAATGGAAGTGGGGCAAATTCTTATCATCCAGAGTCCTCCACCAGGAGACTGGAAGCTGTATTCATGCAAAAAGGAAAAAAAAGCAAAAACATCACTGATGCCAAAATACTGATAATTGTGCCATGGAGGGGAGGGAGGCTGTTTTAGTTTTAGTTTTAGTACAGAATCAAATTTTAGGGAATACCAGAGTTTTGACTTACTGATTATTTCATTGCAGCATTTCAATTGCATTGTTATGCTTACCTATGTATTTAATCATGTAATGAGAACAATAGTAGTTGCACAGGCAAATACTAGCTGTCATTTCACCTGCAGCCCAGGGTCAGAGTTGGTGTCCATGGGTGGGGTGGAGGCAGGAAGACCCCTCTTCCTGGGTCCTAGCACGTAGAGAGCACAGCCCATGCTGGGAGTGCTCAGTACAGTCTTAGTGCAAAGGGACAGCAGCTTCTGTCCCCCTCTGTGCCTGGGTAGACTGTTGAGCTGCTACGCCACAGTTCTCCTGCAAGGTTACTGTTGAACGTGTTTGATCAGATGGCTTGTATCAGGAACTGTGTGGCCAGCAGGGCAGTGATCATCCCCCTGTACTCAGTATTGGTGAGGCCACACCTTGAATCCTGACTTCAGTTTTGGGCCCCTCTCTGGAAGCATACTAAAGTGCTGAAGCGTGTCCAGAGAAGAGCAATGGAGCTGGTGAAGGATGTGGAGCACAAGTCTTATGAGAAATGTCTGAGGGAGCTGGGGTTGTTTAGCCTGGAGAAAAGGATGCTCAGGGGAAACCTTATAGCTCCTACAACTTCCTAAAGGAGGTTGTAGCCAGGTGGGGGTCAGCCTCTTCTCCTCAGGTAACAAGTGACAGTACAAGAGTAAACAAGCTCAAGTTGTGACAGGGGAGGTTTAGATTGGATATTAGGAAAAATTTCTTCACTGAAAAGGGTTGTCAAGCAGTGGAATAGGCTGCCCAGGAAGTGGTTGTCACGATCCCTGGAGGTAGATGTGGCAATTTCACACAGAAATGGTAGTCTTGCCAATGCTGGGTTAAGGGCTGGACTCAATGATCTTAAAGGTCTTTTCCAACTAATTGATTCTGTGATTCTGTGATATTGCTGGTTCTGGTTACATGTACATCTGATGATTGTTTTGTATCGTTGTGTACCAAGGTGTGGGGTGCTGCAAATAGGAGACAGAGTAGTGTCAATAAATGGTGTCCCAACAGAAGACAGCACATTTGATGAGGCCAATCAACTGCTCAGAGACTCCTCTATCACCAACAAGGTCACCTTGGAAATAGAATTTGATGTTGCAGGTATGAATGGCCTGTTATTCTGTCTTGTAAGAAAAATGAAGGAATAAATCCCAAGTACATTGCAAGTATACAAGTATTAGGCATCCAAGGTGGAGGCTTTCTTCTCACATCTGTACCATTCAGTTTTCAAGTGACTTATTTGAAACGTATGTCTTCTTGGACAGCTTTCTCATTTCACATAGGCCTGCAGTGTACTTCAGAATGAAAATAGAAATGACGGGTCCTGTAGTAAGATCTGGTGACTGCCTCTCCTCTGAGATATTTCCGGACATTTTTCTGCCCTGAGATAGAAATGTTCTGCTGAGCGGAGACAAATCACCTACAGGCCAAATACTGAAATATTTTGTTAGACAGAAGAATATCATAAAAGGGTGAATAAACAGAAAACTCTCAGGAATTTCACTTACAGTATATCAAACCAACAATCTAAATAAAATAATAGAAACTGAATTAATAAAGGCCAGAAAGAGTCATTGTTAATGTTGCTGGTGAGTCTTTATTATCACTAATGGCTTTCCTTTATTCTGTAATGTGTTTAAGCATAGAATACATCTATAAAATCACAAATTGTATGTATTAAACAAGCACACATTATGTGTGCACTACCAAACTATGTGAATAGTAAAAACTATTAAGACTTGTCTTAAATCTGACAGTAGCTCCTTTTTAGTCATGACAATGTCAGATGTGCTGTATTTTGCGTAGTGTGATTATTGGTTTTGGTATTATAAAACATTATGTCAAAAGTAGACTAAAGGTTCCTACTGTAATTCTGTATATCCTTTAGGTGTACAGACATCCATCTAGTATAATGTTAAAAAAAGGTCAAATACAGTGTGTACATTCATATACATAGGAAACAAAATATTAAAAAATAAGAAAACCCAATAATGAGAAAGTTGCTCAAATACACTTGAAATAAAATACACATGTATTTTATTCCCTGCACTTGTCTGTGCTTCTCCAATTTACTCCATGATAGCAGACTCATACTCATGGTTAGAGTCCTCTGCCACATGTGTGTTTGTACGTTTCCACAGCTGTAAATTTCAGTTATTCTTTTTCAAGCCAAGGGCCAAACCTTTGGTAGCAGTGATGCCAAAAGTCAGGGCTCAAATACAGTGCAGTGTGTTCAAGTGAGCTTTTTTCTCTGTCAGCTCCAGGCATTTCTCCATTACGGATGTTTTGATTCCTTTTCTTCCCACTAGATGTAAAATCCATGGCAGTTACCTTAGTGGACAGTTACGAAAGTGTTAATCCTACAGCAACAAAGGTCTGAAATCCTTACAACTCAATCTCCTGTCCTTTTAATTAAAAGTTATCTGCCAGCAGTAAAATTTTCACATGTGCTCTCAAAACTTGCATATGAGCTAAAAACCTGCAGTCTCAGCTGGCTTCTAGCCCGTGCAATCTTCACAAATTCAGTTAAACCTTAAAAAAAATTGAGTTACTGTGAAATTAACAGTCGAGTTATAAATCATACTTCCTGTGTCCTACCTCCTTCACTTCAGCACCTGTGTTTCATCTGTGCCATGTGATTCTGATGTGATTTCATCAATTTACACGTATAGTTCTATGCACTTGGAATTCCTCTGCCTTATAAATTATCTAACATTTTAAATATATTTTTATAGAATCAGTTATACCAAGCAGTGGAACATTTCATGTGAAACTACCAAAGAAGCATAATGTGGAACTTGGCATCACCATAAGTTGTGAGTAAAGTGCTTATTTTTCAGACCATGTTTATGAGATAATCTGCAGAGACTAGATTTTGTGGCTAGAGACTTATGTTTCTTTTGGTATAAACTTCTTTTTCCTTTTTCTAGCTTCTTTTTCTGCTTTTTCTCTGATGAAATACCATTCTATAACATATTTATACTTCCCTTCAAATAGTTAATGAAGCCAGAAGTTTGCCAGGTCTGATGCTTGACCTATTCCTTCATGCATAGTACATATTTAACTCCCATAAAATTTTTTATTTAAAAAAAAAAAAAAAAAAAAAAAAAGTCAACAGAATTAGGTCCATGCAAAAGTATTTCCATGGCTGTGAAGTTTAAAGCAGAGTCTGCCATGGTCTCTCACAGGTTCTTGAACAGAAACCCCACTTAGCTCAAGAGTTCTCACAGGCATGAGGATTCACATACATGGGATTGTTTTCTGCTTCAGAACCCAGAGTCTCAATCTGTAGAACTGTTGGGCAGTCCTGAATGTGTGGGTCACATAGCAAAATCCTGTTTCAGTGAGGATTTTAGAGATTGCTAAAGAAGGTAGCAATGGTCCGCATTAGTCTGTTTCTCAAAAAATATTTGTTACTGTTGTTAGAAATCAAAGTGTTTTTATACTTATTTTGTTAGCAGATAGTAAATACTGTGTTAGGACTGGATTTTGACCATGTAAACTCTGGCATACTGAGTTCAGCCCTTGATGGAAGGAAAAACAATCCATATCAAAGTTAATGGGCTTGTGCCTGACACTGCAGAATGGTGTCATCAGAATTAGCATTCCTTTATGGTTGTAGCCTTTCTTAAACTGTTAGTCTTTCTTTGGAATTATTCATGTGTCTTGGGGGAAGACTGTGCTGTGACTTGTATTCTCAAAGCTTTTACTAGCACAATAGAATAAGGTTAATCAAAAGTACTGCAGGGTACTCAGTGCTGAGGATTACATCTGAGGAACAAATGAGAGACACTGCAGGCCTGTTTGCTTGCATTGCACACTTGAGTGAGTAATTGTTAGGCTCTGTCAGATGTGATGTGATGCTTGAAGCAAAATCAAAGGTCTACATGTGCAAATGAAAATATTGGGAAATGAGAAAACCTGGAGTGAGACTGTTCTATTTAAATGTTACTCTTAGGATCAGTAATGGTTTGTAAGATTATTGAAAAAATAGGGTCTTCCTAGTAATTTGATTTGTGTTGCTTTTTGGAATTCAGACATAATGTGCTTTTTTTTTTGTCTTAGGAATAAACTTTTAATGTTTTTGGAATTTAGTATTTAGCACTCCTCTTCCAAACTTTGCATACTTTACTGACTAGGAACTTAATTCCAAAAATTAGTACTTTATAAAATTAGTGCTTTTTATAATCAGTGACATATGATTGGTCTTTTCTCTGCTCTTCTCTGTCTACTGCAGTATCTTTAATATTTAAATTAATTTTTCTGGTATATATAATAGTCTCACCTATTAATACTATTTAATGCATATGAAATGTATAGAGGATTAATTATTTACTTGGTTTTAAAGGGTTTATACTAATAACTGAAAGTTTGTGAATTTGCTTGGTAGAAGTCTTGAATCGCTGCATTTCATGCTTGCTTTTCAGTACTTCACTTTGTTCTACCTAATTAATTCCTAAATGAGGCAGTCTGATTTGAAGAATATAAGCACATATTCATTTGAAGAATATAAGAATATATTCATTTTGTCAAGTTCCTGTCAGGGCACTTCAGCACATTAGCATGCCATTTATTACTGATATTGTCAGAAACCTATATGATTTCTTTTAAAAAATGAATACTAAGGGAAACTTGACAGAGTTGGTATGACCAGTCTTAAACCGGGGTGATGGAAGTGATCAGATCAGATGATCAGATTTTGGGCTTGATCTGTTTAAGTGCTATAGAACTTTTGCATCCTCTCTCTTCTCAAGTTAGTGGAGTTAGGGATTTTTATGAGAAAGTCATGGAATTACCTGACCTGAGAGACAAGACAGACATTTTTTGTCAAAAGGGAAATGTAACCTTACCTCGTATTGGCACCTGAACATACATCTGTTTTAAGTCCAGGACTTCTAAGTCAGCTGTTAGGAATCAGACATCCTGTAAGCAAAATTTATTTTTCTTTCTTTGTGATGTTTTGCTTCATAATAAACACCAAGTGTGCCTGCATGGAGTTACAGCCAGGTATTTGAAGGCATATCTGAGGTGATATGCAACATAAAGACAAGCTAATTCATGGCCCCTGCAAAACAAGGCATGTAATAGGGGAAGAGACTTCTCTTAGTTTCAGATTTATTAATGCAAGAGAAAAATAATAGAAAAAGAATAAAAATCCCCATAGATAGCAAAACCCCGCAGAAAGCAAGAGAAGAAAATTTCACGAGCACCACTGTTGATGTTAATTCAGGGCTCTGAGTTCAGGAGAGTGCATGTCAGTTACCTCACAGTGGGCCTTGCCCACTGCTGCCTTCATACACACGCTGGACTCCTGTCATCCTTCCCTTATCTCTGCAATATCTGTCTAATTTTTCCATTAATAGATACACTCAATACAGACTTTATTTCATAGTTTGCAAATACAAGTGACTATGGAGTTCATGCTTCAGATGTCATTATTTGCACAGCTGTTTAGAGCCATTAAAATATCTCAGTTCTTAAAATTATGTAATCCAAATAAAGCATGACATAAATAATATATCATATATACTGATAATATAGATTTATATATTTATATATGTATATAAAAAAAATAAAGCAATGTCCCTGCTTTTATAACAGAACCATTCCCTAAAAGAAGGATGGCTTTCAAGTAGATCTAGTAGTGTTCAAATCTGTTTCAATTTATTTGCCAGTGACATTGATTTTAGACCATGTAATGGAATATAGATTTTTTTTTTTTAAAGATACATTTTTGAGGCAACTGACTACTTTATCATAGACTATTTTTTTTTTTAAATACATTGAATGATATCCAATAAAGTGACCTACTAATAGATTCTGGTAATTGTAGATAACAGGTTTTTTTTTTCATTTGCTTTCTTTCTTAAGTAAGATTCTGATATCCTTACTGGTGATGAACTGCAGCACTTTGCTTCATAAATAATCTTTCTGAAGCTAATGGAACTACTCAAGGAATAAGAAGCTGCAAAGCTGGTAAGAATATCAGAATCTCACTGAAACAATCATCAGTTTTTCTAAGTCATTTTGACTAGCAGCTATACTATAGTCTCCTATATCGTTTTTGTATTTCATCAGAAACAAGCTTTGTAAATATCTACAGATATTTAGCGTTGACTATGAGAATTTACTTTTTAAAGCATGTTTCTGTATATTTTGGGATTTCACCTGGCAAACCCTACTTTATTTTGCAACGTTACAAGTAATTATTTTCAAGACAGAGAAAAAAATCAGCAGATTTCTCAGCTGCTCCACATGTACCAATACTTAAGGAATAAAAGAGCTGCATCAGTCTTAATTTTAAAAAGCTTTTTCACCTATTTGATAATCACACTATTTTTAAAAATGTCTAATAGCTGTTAACCAGCAACGTAGACAAATGGATTGACTTTGTGTAAAAAATATTTTTCCATCACATGAGCATTTTCCTCTGCTTGTTTAGTTTGTTCAGTTTGATAAAATTCCAAAGCTTGAAGCCAGGCTGAGATTAGTAAGTGAGTTTTGGCTAGGTGGTAGGTGAGATGTCCACTCCAAAATCTGTTTAAGTCACTTTTTGGTTTGGTGTGTTTTGTTTTTTTTTTTTAATTAGCAGTGAAATAAGAAAGAAGCATTGTTTGAGGGTTGTTTTTTAACCTAATGGAACAGCTGATCTACAAAACTGACAACACTTCACTGAACTTTCTTTCAAGTGGCAGAGGAAGTGTAGTAGTAGAAGTAGGGTAGAAACCTGGTATGGAGACCTAGGATCATACAATAATTTAAAGAGAGAGAACAAACAACTTGCTTAAGATCAGCCTTTTAGTTGGAACACTAAATTTAGTTACCTGTACAACCTTATGCACTGTTTGGTCCACTTGTAGTTCTTCATACAGACTGTGTAAAGTCTCCGCAAAAGCTGAACAGTAGGTAGACTAACAGCTGGGTCAGGGAGCAGAAAGGATGAGATTTTTGTTGGACAAGCAGAAGGGGGGGATAAGGAGAGAAAATGAGTGGAGAGCCATAGCAGGGAGACAGCAGATGAGGAGAGAGACTGAGCTGTGATCAGGAGTAGGTGCAGCTGGGAACTTGAACAAGAAGGCTGAACATGGCTGAGTGGTAGGGTGCTTTGTTTATAATAGCCTCTTACAAACAAAAAAAATTCTGAAATTAAACATAAAAATAGAGACTTGAAGCTGTACGGTGTCACTTCAAACCTGCATTAAAAGAGTATCTTAATTAAGTGGTCAAATACTACTTTCTCCCTGGAACTCTTGCTTCTCTGCTCTCTGGGGAGAGTTCAAGCAGTGGTGTGTAACAAAGGGGATGAAGGCTGCGTAATTAATGAGGTTGAGGATTGCAGAAAGACAAAGGATGTGATCTCATGGTCAAGATGGTTTAATGCTGCCCTGGAGAAATTAGAGTGTTTTTCCTTTTCTCTGCAATAGACCTGTGCTGAGACAACTAATTTTTGGGAGTGGAGATTTTCTGGAGATGGCTGCTTGATTTTCTGCAGAAACTGTCGAGATCCTGGGGTTGCACTTGCAAAAAAGCTGAGCATCTGCAGCTGTTGCTAAAAATGCCAGTAGTTGTGCTTTGGACATAGAAGCTGTCATATTCTACAAATGACTGTGAGATATAAAGGCGTGGATGTCTAAAATTGCTCACCAAAAAGTGTCATATTTTGACCTTAATGTTCCTCTGTTTCCTTTCCTTATCTGTAAAATCACGATAATAGTACTCAATCTTCTTGCTGGGGACAGCATCTGTTCACCAGTATTTGGAAGGCAATCTTAGGCTGTGGTGCTGTGCAGTACAAAAGTTCAGGAGATAATTAGTGATTTTATCTCTGTAACACAACTAGTTTGTAGTAAGTATGTCATGAGCATTGAACACTAATAAAGCAAAGTGTACCTTCTTATTAAGGGCTTGTCAGCGTGGGGTAATTCATTCCGCACAAAGATGTGTTTGGTGCCTACAAAAAGGCTTTCATCCACCAGACCCAATAACAGCCCAGGGTAACTGACAAAATACTGCTGGTAAACACTTACTCAGTTTGAAGCTATGATAACTTTGTGTGCAATATCATACCCTTTGCATCCACAGATACTCTGTGGCTTTCCACTTTGAGCTGTGCTCTTCCCCCAATTTTAGTTCCTTTTCTCTTCTTTTTGCAACAATAATGGACTGTTTTCTTAAGTACTAGTATTTTGATAAGACATTTTCATAAAAGTATTTCAATACTCAAACCCTACACTGCAGACAATGTAGAGTGGGTAGCACATAACCTCAGATACTTGTAAGGCAACTCAGAGGGTAAAAACATAGAATTTAAAAAAAAATTCACCAAAGTGATACTTTAAAATTTTAAACAGATACTAATTGGTGAAACAAATCCAAAGAATTCAAGAAAATCATGGAATTGTTATAGAGGATATAGCTGACCTATGGCATGAAAGTATGATAAACAAGCTGTGAAAATTACACATCTTGCAAAAAGTTAATTACGGATCTCTACATCGCAACATAGACATTTCCTGAAAGCATGCTGTTTCAGACAAATTTCTAAAAATTCTTAAAAGTCCCTGTATGTCTGTCTTCTGGACTTTCAAGACATTGCATTTGAAATGTAGCTATTTAGCAGTTCCTGAAGAGGTCCTTTGGACATTCAAAGTCTTTCTTGGCCAGGACAGCTAAGGTTAACAAGATCTGTTAGCATATTGTGCTGGACACATCACTATTAATTTACCTTGTGGTTGCTGTAGGTGAAGATTGTCATTTTCCATCAAAGAGAAGATTCATGAACTGCTAAAGTAACTGACATCAGGATTTTGTAGGTGATCCTTCAATATGGGCAGCTTTTTGGGTGATTGTCAGTTAGGCATTGGAGCGTAATGGAAAAGTACCCTCTGTAAATGAATGTAGAGGACTCAGTACACAGAGCAGAAATTACTTGGGGCAGTCAAAGAACCCTAAATGAGCAAAGCCCATTAGCACTTCCAGGAGAACTGAGAGCCTTATACCACCTGGAAATGTTCTAATATTAGCACACTCTTTGTTAACAACAGTCCCAGAAGTCAGCCTGTGTTCACCACATGGACCACCTCTTGGCCAGAGCAGCTGTAGTGGCATACTTCCCAGTGGTAGACAGCATGTGCCACACAGTTGTCTTTCATCACCCACAAGTTCTAAGCCCACTGCTTACCATATCAGATCTTCAGTGCAGTCTTCTGTCAGCAAATGGAAGAACCTCACAAAACAGTTCATTCGGTGAAACCACTCCAAGAAACAGTCCTCTGGAAGCAGTCAGTAGTTGTTGTCTTCTTCTGGGATAGTTAATTGCTTCCTATGCAATCAAAAGTCAAGCAAAATTGCTGAGTGAATTTCTTGGCCAAGGGAAACTTGTCAAATATTTTTTCACAAGTCAGTAAAGAATTGCAATGACTGGCATCGAAGAGCAGAGCATCCTTTTAACCATGAGGGACAGATAGAAGATTAACAGTTAATGTCGGATACTTCAAAAAAGAGATGAGTTAGGTGTGCAAAGAGAAGAGTGGGGGGGGGGTTTACTAAATTGACCATTGCTGGAATTCTAGTGCTTATAGTAGGTATCCCCAGTACAAAGATGGGAAAAGTCTACAATGCTTAAGGCCCAGCAGCAGTATAGGGGGACAAGGTTACTCAACAAAAGAGGCACATGTTTACTTTGAGGAAGCAAGCATCCGTGTGATGTAAGCTACATCTGTGCAAACATGATAACTCTGCATCAGCCCAATGATATGTGTCACCACTATCCACAGCATCTCATTTATTGTGAAGTATATCTCTTCTCACCCAGGAATCATTACCAAATTTGTACCTCTGCCTTAAGCACTGGGTGGGACAGAAGTGGATGTGAAGAACAGGGGTTGGCCCACTCTACATATTTTGCCAGAGCAGCTCTGTAGGTCAGAGATATAATAAAACAAGATCTGTTCTGGCAAAGGATCATCATTAGTGCTTGTGCTGAAAAGTTCTACTAACAGAAAATCTTCCTTATGTGTTATAGCTACACAGCGTTTTATATAGATCATTGGAGCTGTACTGTGATATCATCACATGGTTCAGTCCTGGTCTATCCCAGAATTCAGACACATCAGACTAAGTGTACTTTGTACCAGTCACTGTAATTCTGGAATTTTCTAATTTTTGAGTCTTAGTAATGCAGTCCTACTAATATGTTACTGATGTTTGTTTTATTATATGTATGTTTTATTATATAATTTAGAGGAAGGGAAGGAATATAATACAGGTAAATAATGTGTATGAAGTGTTGACTTATGGACATAATTAGCTCGTCTGCATATCTAGAAATAAAAACAAATGCTTGTATGTATTCTTTATTACAGCTCCATCCAGCAGAAAACCAGGGGACCCTCTGGTTATTTCTGATATCAAGAAAGGAAGCGTTGCTCACAGGTAAGACAATCAGTAAAAATCTGTTTCTGTTGTGTAACCAGCCAGATTCAAGTTAAACAGAGGGAGATTGTAAGAGATGCTTTTTTTTTGTTTGTCTGTAACAAACAGTTAAAAATTTAAAGTCCAGTGTATTAAGAAATAATAGTTTTTAAAAATCCATCTCCTTTCTAAAATAATGTTCATACCTTCTAAAATACCTTTCTTGTAATATTACTAGACTTTCATGTAAGCTTGTTCATTTGTTCACAGGACTGGGACACTTGAACTGGGTGATAAGTTACTTGCAATAGATAACATTCGACTTGACAATTGCTCAATGGAAGATGCTGTCCAGATCCTTCAGCACTGTGAGGACCTTGTAAAGTTAAAGATCCGCAAAGATGAAGATAATTCCGGTATTAGCAATGAGCCTATTGCAGAGTCTTGTGTATTTTCAGGAGTTTTAGAACATGGGGGTTTTCTTTTACATTTAAGTTTTAGCAAAATGTTTTTTCTAAATATGTCTGGTTTATGCTAATAATAATCAGAAAATGTCACCTAAAAAGAATTTTAGTGGTGTATAAAGTTTTGAATTTTCTCACTGGCTATACTGCAGGCAGGAACTGCACTGCAGAATGGGGTCTTCAGTTCTCTGGAAAGGGAGTTTCCCCACATGTGCAGCCATATAAAGTTGATCTGTTTCTTATCAGAGTATTGAGATTTTCTCTGCTTTTAACGTTGGAATCATGGTTATCAAAGCATGCTTTGTCCATAAACTTACAAATTTGTTTTCAGTATGACTGTTCACATGCTTAAAGGTAAGTAGTACTTTACATGCTGTGCTGAATAGCTGATGGAGGAGCCATGTCTGATCAGCCCAGTGGAAGTAAAGGACCTGACATAATTTTGCACACCTGGAGATAATAAAGTGAGTTCTGTTATGCATTGTAGTGGCAAAGGAAGTAAGACAGTTATAAATACTATTACTGCTGGTAATTTGTATTACAGTGTTACACAAAAGCATGAACTGTGGATTCACTTCTCTTTAGCTCTATACAATTTACAACAAAAAGGCACAACCTGCCACACTTTATTGTTTGAAATCAAGTGCAACTGTTGAACCAGTGTTTAGAATTGCATTATAACCCTTTTTTTTCCTTTAATTGCTTTTGAAAGCAAACTAAGTATCTTCTCTGTATGATCAGTATAAAGCAAAGGCAGATGCATTTGGTACCTTGTGCAAATTGGCTTTCAGAAGTAAATTTTGATCAAGGAAAGTGAACTGCCAATGCTTGGCAGGATATTGTGGTTAGCTCCCTGCAGATGATGAGGTGGGATTGGCTACACATAGTTGGTCCATCCTGGCCAGAGGTTGTTCAAACTGACCATGGGCTATACATCCCAAGGGATACCTCACTGACAGTTTCTTTGCAAAACTGAACCAGGTATGTTATGGTAAGCAAACTGCAACTACATTTGCCAGAAGATTGACAGGAAGGAAGTTTTGCTTTTTCTCCTGCACAAGAGGATTTTTTCAACTGTTCCTGGTACATAGGATCCCTCCTTCAAATTCTTCCCCTCAACTGGGAGTCTCTCATTATCAGCCTGCAGAGAAATTACCAAAGACCATAAGAGAGGAGCATGATTTAGAGCCATGTAGAAGAAGTAGTAACTTCTCCCACACTTCTGTTTTTCCTTCCTCTGCTATCTCTCCAACTCCTCCCCTCCTCCCTTCTCCAGACAGTTGTATGTGTCTCAGAGCTGTGTTCCTCAGAGCCACTGTGCAGGTGAGGCCAGCAGCAGGGTAGTACATGTCATGTGCTCCCCAGACTGTGCTGCTCTTTGCCCTTTTCACTGTATTGGTCAGATGTTAACTCTGAAGAGCACGAGACTAGTGAACAGAGCAGAGGCATTGTATCACAGGAAAGGAAAGGTGGAAAATCTCAAAACCATGAGACCCACAACCATGGTAGTTTGATTATATTTCCTCCACAGATGGAGATACGTTTTCAGCAGTTTTTCTTTTCTCTATTTTTATTGCCAGCTTCCCAAACAGGACAATTTTATCTCCTGGTTAACCTAATGGCTACCACCTTTTCTTGAATATCAGCGTTCTTTGCTTTCATTGCAAAATTGGCCTTTATGGTGGATTCAGGCCACATTGGATAGCTCACATTGCTGCTGCCTGGAGAGCACTGAAAGAACACCATAGCATTCTGCCATTAATTTTCTGACCTACAGCTAACCAGAAAAAAGGCATAATGGCTATTACCTTTTCAATTATCGTGGAGGGTTACTTTTCATCCTTCAGTTGAAGTCTTGTACCATGTCAGTGCCACACCTGCGTAAACAGTACCAGCATTAGATCCCAGGGGATTTGTGGTTGTTCCATAAATGCTTTTAGCAGCAAGGATGAGCTGCCATTCTTCTGCTGTACAGTGGCAGCATGCATGCTAGCCCACTATATGCCAGCCAGAGGCTTCCAGTGCCGTCTTGGGAGTTGGGTGCTTCTGGGAAGAGCATGTCAGATAAAGTGCTGTTGGTGTAAACTGTGCCAAAACACTGATGACAATGCCTCAAGTAGGCATGAAAATCCCAGTATTTTTTGCTGAATAAACACCACTAGTTCTCCTCTCCTTTGATTCTCTGTGTGTACCATTTTCTTTATGTGAATAGCAAGGAAGAAATAGATCGGAGTTGGGGTGGGGGGAAGCTAAAGAACTAAATGTTCTGAAAATTGCGAAGAAACAAAGTGGCTCCAAAGCTATTAGTCTTTCTCCATCTCTGCTTAAGTACTGTGTTCAGTATTAGAAGAAAGAAACTTTGAACCTTTGCTAGTGATGTAGGTATCTTTCTTCCTTTTAAAGCTTTTCTATCTACAGGAGCAGAAATGGGAACATATGAATTTTCTAACTTGTCTCAGTTTTAGTAACATTTACAGAATGTGCATCCTAGACATTTTCCACATTCACTGAACTGCTCAAAATGTCATTACCCACAGATCTAGGAATATTTGCCCACCAGACCAGTCATCCTGGCTGAATACCAATATCATAACATGAGCAAGAAAGCATTTGTTATTTTGACCTGAGAATATGGCATTTTAAATTTTAAATATTACTTCAAAACTCAAAGATGCTGCAGTTGATTACTCTCCTGCTGTGATTTTTATTAATAATACGTAAAGAGCATGCGCTATATAAATACAGGCACCTTTCTTCATGATACAACAGCTATTGAGTATGGTTTAAGGAAATACATTATATTTAAGCTTACCCAGTGACGTATTCTTTTCCAGTTCTTATGATTGTTTGGTGAGACTAAAATTTCAAAAGAATTCAAATAACTTCATGCAATATAATGAAGTAATATCTAATGGAGTTATTGTTCAACTTCGTTGATAATTCAGTATTCAGAAGCTATTTTTGATTCTGTTTCAAAAAGCTTAAAACATGTCCATCAAAACTATGAATTCTTTTATTAACACAGCTGCCCATCTTATAATGACTTTTGACTTGCCAGAATTCTTTTAAGGAAGTTTGGGTTTAAAACTTTTGAATTACCTTTAATTCTAAATACTTCCTATTCAGTTCAAGAAACAGCTGAGTATCAGTATTTATACAATAGTAGTAACTTGCCTTTTCTCAAATAATGTGACCTTGCAGCAAAGAAGGCTGACAGCCTCCTGGTCTGCGATAGGCAGAGCCCGACCAGGAGGTCAAGGGAGGTGATCTTTCCCTTCTACTCAGCATCAGTGAGAGATTTCAGGAGTGCTAGGGCTAGTCCCTGGGCTCCCCAGTATAAGAGAGACATGGACGTATAGTGGATGAGGTGCAGCAAAGAGTCACAATGATGACGAAAGGGCTAGAGCATCTCTCCTCTGAGAAAAGACTGGGGGAGATGAGACCACTCAGCCTGGAGAAGAGAAAGCTGAGGGGGATCTTATCAGCATGTATGAATGCCTGAAGGGAAGATGTAAAGCAGACAGAGCCAGGCTCTCCTCATTGGTGCCCAATGACAGGACTAGGGGCAATGAACACAAACTGAAACACATGAGGTTCTGTTTGAACATCAGGAAACACTTTTTACTTCGAGAGAAACCAAACATTGGCACGGGTTGTCTAGAGAGGTTGTGGAGTCTCTACCCTTGGAGCCATCCAGAGCTGTCTGGACACAATCCTGGGCAACTAGCTGTAGTTGGCCCTGCTAGTGCAGGGAGTTGGCCAAGATGGCATCCAGAGGTCCCTTTTAACTTCAGTCATTCTGTGATTTTGTAACAAAATAGCCTGAAGCTATATTTTAATGGGAAAGAAGATCTAAAGATTTTAAACAGAGTAAAATTTAGTCTTAATAGAATGAGGCAAGTTTTTCTGGTGGCTTGTGTCCAGGTTTTGGCAATAAAAAAGAAATTGACAGTAGATTTTTTTTTCAAAATAATAGAATATGGTTGTGAAATGTATCTGAAATGTAATCCTTTGAAAATGTTGTTTGATTACCAGTCACTAGACTGAATGTGCTATTTTTTCATTCCCTCTTTCATAACAAACCAATTGCATCCCCTTGGCATTTATTACAGATGAACAGGAGAGCTCTGGAGCAATTATTTATACTGTTGAGCTCAAGCGCTATGGTGGGCCTCTTGGAATTACAATCTCTGGTACTGAAGAGCCCTTTGACCCCATAATCATTTCCAGCCTTACAAAAGGAGGATTAGCTGAAAGGTAAATTGGAAAGCAAATTATTTTTAAATGTTTCAAGATAAAGATTTGTTTTGTTTACCTGAAGATGCTAATTTTTATAGCTTAGAAATTTGTTTTTTTAATAATTATCCAAATCTGACTTTATAATCTTTTTGCTGTTGTTTTTTGATCATTGCCAAGCTCAGGAGCATGAGCGATATCTTAACAGGATGTACGTGTATATACTGTACAAGGCAGAGCAGAGAATTGCGGTTCTTATTATAAATCGCCAAGGAAATACTAATCAATCAAACTGCTCAGTCACAGGAACATTTTAGCAGCCTTTTAAAACCAATAACCTTGTACAGTATAATAAGTGAGGAAAGCACTTCATGTGTCTAAGTTTATCTGAACTTGTCATATACTTATCTGCTACTGCAATCTGTATGTGCGCTTTCATACACCATAGCAAGCATTATCAGAGGAGCAAAAGTGCTCCTTGTGGTAAGTGATAGAGAATAATGAAAATGGTAAGGTTTGCTATCACCTGTTATTTCTAAGATTGGTTGAGTCATTCAAACTGGTACCTTTGGTGGTGGTTTCCCAGAGAACACATGAGCACACATGATACTATGCACAGCCAGAACCCAGTGTGTTTACACAAAAATAATTTGTTTTCCTTTCTTGATTTGACCCATCCTGAAAGCCAATAGCTGGTTACTTGCTCACAACACTTTTGTTATGTTGTGAGACTTTCAGAAACTTGACTCATTTCAGAGCCTAGTGAGCTGTCTGAGGTTGCTCTTAAACAAGTGGGCTGCAATGAATATCATCTACAGGTGATTAACTCAACTGTCTCAGTAACAGAAATCAATATCTTCATGCCTCAGCTCTGCTATTTGTCACTACAACAAAGGTGACTTGCTTCAAGCATTTCTAACAAAAGAATTATTCTCTAACACAGCTATAAAAGCAAAAAGAAAGAAAGGAAGGGAGATAGAGCTTTCATGCTCCAAATATGCAAAGAAATTGCCTTTGTTGCTTTTTATGCTCTCTTCTCAGTGTTTTACTTCTCTCTTATTTTAGGACTGGGGCAATTCACATAGGAGACAGAATCCTTGCCATAAATAGTAGCAGTCTGAAAGGAAAACCTTTGAGTGAAGCCATTCATTTATTACAGATGGCAGGAGAAACTGTCACCTTGAAAATCAAGAAGCAAACAGATGGTGAGTGTGGCCAAGGGTACCATCAGTGGTCCTTAATGCGTGTGTTATTACAGATTAACAAGCATTTAAGCCATCTATGGAAAAGTATTGTGTCAGTAATAAAAAGCAGATTCTTGGAACTGCAGTAAAGCAATGACCACCACCAGCCCTTTTTTTTTAATCCTATTCAGCTACCAGTCCCAAGAAATTTTCTGTCCCTGTGGGTCACATGAGTGAACTGAGCGATGCTGAAGATGAAACCTCTGCTGCACAGAAATCTGGCATGCTCTCGGACATCTATTCCACTACAGTCCCAAGTGTTGACAGCGCAGTAGAGTCGTGGGATGGCTCTGGTATTGATACCAGCTTTGGAAATCAAGGTACTATAAGGAATGCAGTTGACATTTAAAGTAGGAATTATTGCCTTCATGGCTGACCTTCCTTTGCCCTAAAGAGAACTTTCTATCTGTACTAACTTTAAACTCTGTACTTTGTAATGTGCTGCTGTCTCATTATGACCATACACCACACCAGGCAGCATGATTCCTTGCACTTGGCTGGCCTCAGATTTACTCTTTCATGAGGATGTGATGTGTTACAAAGCATTTATCAATACATTAACAGGCTTTTGTTAGCTTTACTGACATCTGAATAGCCTGGTCCATAGCTCATCCACAACTAAATGAGCTTATCCTTCAAAGACAGATCAATGCAAGGCACAGAACACTCTGGAGATGTTCATGAATTTGATGCCCATATGCAGTTAATTTTTAAGTGCCAACAGATTTATTATAAACTGATGAAGGGGAACATGAGTCATTGCTTATGATTTGTAAAGCTTTTGCTTCTTCCTCATTCCTGCAGAATTGACATCTAACTTTCAGGTGTTGAAAACAATCATTCTATTTAAAAACATGATTTTCCATAATGATATTTTTTCTACTTCTGTTTGACTATGGTTTTAGATAAGTTTTTCAAATAATCTCAGTTTGTAACACATGTTTATTTAGGCAGTGAGGGATACAGACATCTTGTAATATTCTTGATAACAAGAAAAATAACTTACATGCAGCTTCAGTGTTTTATTTGACTCTTTTTAAAATTTTTACTTCCCTAGTAAAGCATGTATTCCCACCACCTGGCAGGTATTTGAACAGGTAGATCCTTACCTCAAATTTAATTTTTTCACTGAAGTTAGAGTTTGGATGAATTTTCCCCCTTTTCTGTTTTTAGCTGTGTTGGTCAATTTATCAAAATAAGTCATGTTAGATTTTCTTCTGATATTTTTAAATTCTAAGGAGAAATATTGCTGAAAATGTGCCAGAACAGTAATTCTCATTTCCTGGGTGAATTGATGATATTTGGAGCAAATTGTTCAGCTGTGGAAAGGATTGAGGCCCAGAATGCTTTCCAAAGTCCTGATGATTCAGGTGCCATGCCAAAACTAAACCAGTATCTCAAAGCAGATTTTTTTTTAACTCCCTTGAAAAAATCAACCCAGACTTGGCTGGATACATGGTACTTCTGCTAAACAGCCTGAGAGTAAACAGATTTGTGCCTTTATCCCTTGCTGTGGTGGTGGCTCACATTTCTAATAAAGTTCATTCTGTCTTGACCTGTTAAACTGAGTTTGGCTTTTCTCCAAACTTTTCTTGGCAATAAGCACAGGATGAGAAAATTGAGGAGTTTGGGGGATGTTTCTGGAGCACCAGATAATGCTTTATCCTATTAGTTACCAATTTAATGCTGGTGAGCTATCTTTTCTCTTCTTGAATTAATACCCCATTTTGTACCTTTGTCTTATGTGTCTGCATTACTAATCTGGAGCCTACCCCTCACAGCAGTCACATCTTTGCAACCAAAACCCTTCCTAGAATCTGGGAGTTTGTTAATGTCTGCCAATTAGCTGGAAAATGCACACAACTGTGTAGTTACATGGGATTTGAGGGAGACAGGTCTAGACTGATTTATGGAAGCAAATTACCCTCTTTAGAGGAGTGGCAGCAGTGCTAGTTGTTAGTCATCAACAAAATAGAACTTTCTAATCCAATATGCATATCAAAAACCAGCAACTGTAGAGCTCAAAAAGGAATACATCAATATGAAGGATATTATATATGTGTAATATTCAGCTCTACCATAATGGATTTTACTTACCAGATCAGGATCAGCTTGTGACCAGTTGATCTGTGTGTTCTTGATAACATCAGTGGGAAGCTGGTTCCTACTTGGAATTCAAAGTATACCTAGTTCCGTTAAAGAAACACTATTGAAGTAATACCTGCTTTGCATATATGATAAAAGCACTCAGAAATAAACTCCTCAGGTATAAAGGCCATCTAATGCCACTTACACAGCCTTGAGATATTTGGAAATGGGTGATAGAGAAATGGCTTTCTGCAAGGTGAGCTTTCCAGGGCCGTATACTGGTCCTGGGAATGTGTACCCAGGACCATTGTGAGACAGGCCTTTTCTGAACTCTCAGAGCCCTAGTAAAAAGGGTATGTAAAAAGTCAAGTTCGTGGGATTTTTTAATGCATTTTTGAAAACTCTTTTTTTTTTTTCAATAAATCTAAAGCACATTTTTTGTAATTTTGGGCATGTTGCGTATGACCATGTTAACACATTTTAGCACATCCATAATATGGGATATATTCACTAGTATTCAATCTAGGATGTCAAATGGAAATTAATAAATTGTGGCAATGTCTAGAACTAAACACAGAAGCAGCTGAGACATAAACAGTAGAACAATGTTAGATATATTTAAGGTTCTGCTTTCAGTGGACTTTCACAGGAGAAGCTCTAGAGCACACCTAATTCCAGACATAATTCAGATCATAAATAATCTGACTACAACTGCAAGAACAAAAAAGGTAACAATGATGAATCCACAAGTTCTAGAGAACCCCGCTTCAGAGATGTGCTTGTCTGTCATTACAACATATGCAGTGCTGTAAATATAGAATTCATCTTTTTAGGACACACCTATCAGGCTTCAGGATACAACTTCAATGCCTATGAATGGAGGAGTCCTAAACAGACTAGTTTGTCCCCTCCAAGCAAACCACGAAACCACCCATTTCATGATACAGGACTGGGTGATGAGGAATGGGATCGACCTACAGCAAGCAGGTAAGTTCCCATATGAGTTTCTGTTTTCTGATTTGCATCAACCCTGAGATTAGCTGAGCTGGTTAGAGCATGGTGCTAATAATGCCAAGGTTGTGGGTTCAATCCCTGTATGGGCTATTCACTGAAGAGTTGGACTTTGAAGATCCTTGTGGGTCCCTTCCAACTGAGAATGCTCTGTGATGTTATACTGTGGTATCTGGAGGTTGTGGTATATGGTAATATTTGCTGGACAGCCTTGTCCAATTCCCGTTGATACATCGTTCACCAGTACTGCCTTTATCACCTTTGGGAAGTGAATGGACACATACCGGAGCTGTCAGTTTGAATCAGAGATGTAAATAGACATGTTATAAGTGCACATCTGCATCAGTGCCCCAAATTAACACTTAACTGCTGGAATGAAATTATGTTTTTCTAATGAAGCTATAGGAGCTCTTCCTTTAAATATGAGATACAGTATACTTCATGAAACTTATTAGGGTAGATTAGTGATCTTTATGGAGGATTATGATGCCAAAACCAAGGCATATATTTATTTTGAGTTACTTCAGCCTAAAAAAACACAGTATTTATCTCTTAAAAATAAGCAAACAAAAAAATTAGGGCATTTCCCTGGGCAAGCTTCAGAAAAAATCTGATCTGTTTTCCACTCCACAGAAATAAACCTACAAATAATGTGGTTAAAGACAGCTGGCATGTTAATCTTATGTCTTCCATAAAAATTCATTTTGGTTTGGGCAAAGAAGCAAGAATTCTTCTTCCATAAATGTTTGAGACATCCACAGTGATTCAGTAGGAGAAAAAAGTGATCCATGTAGAAACATCTTGTCCAAAACTATGGTAGTTTACCATGCATTTATTCCTCCTCTTCTGAGAAGTAAATCTCCTTTTCAGTTAATTTCTCTGCGGACAAGAGAACTTCCTGAGGGAAGAATTCTTACTTGACAATTATTGGAGATAGTGAAAGACCCAAATGTCTCTTATTTTCCTATTCTAAGGTTGATCATTAGTGGAACCGCTGCAGAGTCTTGGGTAATTCCAGCTAAAAAACAGTTCTTCCTCAGATGTGGGAAGACATGCATCACAGTTAGAGAGATTTCTGTACTTTTTGTACCCATCCTCAGGATCTGCAGGCTTGCATGTCCTTCATGAGAAATAACACTTTCTTGGTGTACCAGCACAATGAGCCTGAAATCCCAGTCTGCGAAAATTCAAACTGAGTACTAAAGAAAACCTTTCTGATGCCTATAGAAACAGACTGGAGAAGTAAATCCATAAGGTCCAGTCTGTAACCTTTGAAATACAAATCAAGGCAAAGTTTAGATGCTGCTTTCAGAATCTGAATGACAAATCTTCTGATACAGCTGATTGCTCAGTGGCATTTTCTCTGGAGACAAGCTTGGCAAGAATGATTGCTAAGATCTGGACAAGCGTGAACTGTCAGTCCATATCCAGCTCCTTTGGTTCCTTCTGGCCAGAACCACACTAGAAGTTTTCATAGGCTAGTAGTGGACAGTGTTTACTAAAGGAAATTAAGATAGCTTTCTTCATACTGCCCATTCTTGGTAACCTAATGTCTTTAATATCAGCATCTTTATCTGCAGTTAAAGTCCATATTTTGTTTTGCAAATGAGATGCAGCCAAAGATTCCAGAACACCTACTGTTTTGCAGCTGTGTAAGTAATGGGCTGAAAAAGCTGATGAGCAGTGAATCAGGAAGCTGGATTCTAAAATACAGAATTTGGAAATCAAAAGCATGTATTCTATTACCATTTTAAGGCACTGTTCAGCAGAAAGTATGCACATTAAAGAGTCTTGTTCTGCTTGTCAGTTTGACTTACTCTTGACAGTAAATTACAAATTAAAATAATGGTTATTTTAACCCTGTATCTAAAATGGATTGTGCCACATCTGATGATGTTCCTATACCAAGTGCTGGACTGTTTGAGAAGAGCACATCTGTTCTTCCAGCCTGCTACAAGGATCCCAGAAAAGCACCTCTTCTAGTTCTAGCTAGGCAAGTTATTTTCTTCTCTAACACTAGAAAGTAATTTTTCTTACCTTTATTTTGTGTAGCACAGCATCCAAGAATATATGGCAACCGAAGGAGACTGAGACATCAGGAGAGAATCAAGAAAACCATTTAAAGCAAACTTCTGTAGAAAGATCAGGTGGAGAGAGCACCAGAAGCACGAAGAAGGAGGGCAAGATGTGGAAAGGTGCCTCTGGAGGGCAAAGGAAAGGTGGGGGACAGCTGGAAGAGTGGAATACATCCAGGTAGGAAAACAAAAAGTGCACAAAAGCGATATCCAGCTGGGCTGAGGCAGAGATGGGTGGTGGGGGGCCTGAGAGGAGAGAGAAAGAAAGGAAGAACAGTTGAAATGAGAAAAACAGGGTAAAAGCAGAAAACACCACATTAACATGCCTTTGAGGGACAATGAAATTTCAGTGGGCAAGCGAATGAAACCAGAGAGCTTAAACTGCTCTGTAGCCTGGTGTCTACCTATCACTGCCAGGTAGGACAAGTCTGTTACAGTTCCTGCTCCAGAGATAATGTTTTACACGTTAAAACAATACTTACAGGAATGAGTCTGCCATATCCTAAGACATCCTATCACCTTCTGATTTAAAAAAAAAAATTTGTCTCTCATATGGCAATAAGAACCAAATCATAGACACCTATGTCTTTATTATCTGTCCTACTACATTTCCTTCAGCATCTTTAGGCATCCGAACTTTAAGTCATATATCATATGACTTAAAATCAATCTCTCATGTTTCAGATAAAAAAGCAGTTTCGATGAGAAATTATTTTGGTACCTCTTTTGACTTTTGGTGCAGTAGCTCAGCTACAAATTACTCGTGTGGCTGTAACGAAGATGCAAAAGTTGAGATTTCACACACCAGGTGACAAGCCTCAGAAAAAGGGCAAAAGAGGAGATGAGAGCAGAAGAAGAAATTGCTTCAGCTGAGTGGTCCAGATGTATAGGCATCATGATTTCATATTTCACAGAAGTCAGAGAAGAAATGGACCTCCAGTTCTAGGAAATCCAGACTTGCTGTCCCAGACAGTTGCCTCAAATTATCGTATTCATTAGCTCAAGTTCCATTTGATAGTGTGCAGTGTAACAGGAGATATTGTAATGGATAAATTAGTCTACATTCAACATTCACTATTGAACGAAATACTTAGATTTATTGAAAGAGCACATTTCAGAAGTCGAGGATCGTTCTAAAATCATGTTTTAAATACTTTCTTATCTTGCCTGGGAGGAATTGCATCTGTGATCTGAGTAGGTATTCTCACCATTACTGTATCTATTGCAATATCTTAGAAGAGACACTGATGCTAGGTGGAGAATCATTGCAACAAGAGATTGAAATGGCTGACCATTGTCTGCTTGACTGACTGCAGCTGTAAGAAAGCATCTCTGAGGCAGAGTATCTGTGTGAAGCATTCAAGCTGTCGTCCCTTGTGCTGGGCAATTGTTCTATTTAAAAGCTATTCTGTAAACAGTTACATTCATGCTGTTCTCGGTAACACATTGTTTGTCAAGCAAGGCCTCAGATGCTTCCATAATAGTGTTTGCTCTGTTTATGTGCTGTTTAGCACCACTAGCTGCAATCCATGAGCAGCTGCTCCAAAGAAACAGCTTGCTGCCACCAAAAGGGCGAATTGTCATTCCTTCTTTCCTCATCCTTCTTCCCCTGTGCCTTTCACATAATCAGCCCTCTCCCATGCAGCAGCTCTGATGTTTGTGTGAACCTTTATTGAGCTGCTTCCCCTTGCCAAAAAAACCTCCTGCTTCTTCCCCTGTATGCACACATACACTGTAGTGGTTTTGCTTTGGGCTGTGTTGCTGCAGCCCAGAGTTGGCATTTTTTATCAGACCTCACTTGCTGAGCAACTTCCCTAACATCACTGTCACCAACATCTGCTCAAGAGTGCTTGTAATAAGGCTTTGGTGCATTTATGAAACACCAGAGACCTAAGTTTCCATACAAGTCAGTTGCATCCCTGAAAGTTTCTCTGTGTTTATGTATGAAATTATTGGAGCAATTTATATTATGGCAGTCAGGTGGCTTAAACTCATAATGATAAATGCAGCTTAGGCTGAAGGAATCAGGTAAAAAGCACACCGTCCCTCTTTGGCAAAACACTATTTAAAAAAAATGAGGAGTCTTTCCATATTGCCTGGGAGAAGTCTGTGAAGTTGAAAGGTTTTATTGCAAATATTTGTTGCACGGAGCAGCTCTGCACACAGCTACTGGTTGATTCATTAATTTTCATAGGGAGGTCCCAGTTTCAATCCAGTAAAAACGTGTATTGAATTGTTCTTGGAATCCATTTATCTCCTTACTGAACAACTCGCTGCTCAGATCCTGCCAGCTGCTAGTGACTGCCAGGTTATGAGAAGGCTTGTCTGTCATGTGCTCTGCATGTCCATCCGGCCTCTCCTGATCAGCGACTCTTCCCCACTCTCCTGCATAACGTTCTGTCATTCAAGTTGCAATCTGTGGCAAGGCACGTGTATAATATATATTTTTAGAGGGAAAAAAAAGTCCACATTTTTTTAACTTCTCATTGTAAATCTAGCTTCACAGGTACCCATGATAACACCGAGGCTGACCAGGAGGAAAATTTCTGGTCTCAGGCTCTGGAGGATTTAGAGACCTGTGGCCAGTCAGGAATTCTGAGGGAACTAGAGGTAGAAAAATCTTAACCTTTCTTTCCAATTATAGAGAAATATAATGGTTTTGGTTTGGTTGACATTCATTTTATTTTCTCCTTTTTTCTTTTAAGTTGCACTAATCACACCAATTCATTTAAAAGCTTTAACCCGTCTCCACAGGACAAGGCTGACAGGCGTCTGTGTTTGAGAAACATGACTCTCGTGGTACCTACCCTTTACCTTTATATTTTTGCTTGTGCAGCTGCCTCCCCTGCCCCTAACCAGAGCTGTTTTCTTTTGTACAATGCAACCAAAATTCTATAAACATGTTCACCCCAGTGCTTTTGACTTGCAGCTTCTGCTGTGCATAATCATCGATGCTGTCTGCAGAGGCAGCAAATGGCACAGACATTCTTAAGTGAGCATAACCTTCCTGCAGCTATGCATTCCGTTTTCTGACAGACGCTTCATGCAGCTTTTCTTAGCATGTTGTAGGTTGTCTTTTAAATTGAAACTTAATTTGATTAAGATGAACATAAAAGAAAATCACCTTTTCAAAATGTTTACCTATAATCTTACCACTCTGAAAAAAAGAGAAGCTGCCAAATGTGAGAAATGTTCATTATACAGCGATTTCTTCACTATGTAACAAATTTTTACATTTCATTTTGAAGTTGATTGCAAATCTAACCATGCTTTATGTTAGATAGTGATGGGGGCAGAGGAGGAAGGAAACAGAGTAACTTTGAGTCTTTATTTTTATAATTATCTTTTCTCTAAGTTGTCTAATCAGAACAATTGAGATTATACTGCCACTTAGAGCTATGGAATAAAAGGTCCTAAAATATTTTCTTTTATGTTCTTTTAAATTCCCAGAGCTGCAAAACTGGCAGAATCTCATTTTCATTTTTATGTTACATAAAGTCCTTTAGCAGCCAGGAGGAATGTGAAAGGCATAACTGCGTGAAAGTTTTTCAGTTCAGATTAATTTACTTCTTCAGATTTACGGCTTTTGTATTGCATGTATAGGTAGCAAAATGTGATTCTCATTTATTTGTTATTGCAAACCAGAGAAATGTAGGAGAAAATGTTATACTGGTTTAATTACATAGTTAGATATGGTTCAATACTGCAGGCTTCTCTTGCAGTTTTCAGTACTCAGAACATAATAAAAGGATATGGAAATAGATCATTCCAAAAGGGAAGTATGTCATTCATGCTGACCAGAATTCAGTTACTTCAACACGTTGAATTTTCCTCAGCCTTTCACAAAAGTGAAATTCAGAACTGTAGATGTTGTACCATTTACAGCATCACCTCATTGCACAACCCCCAGCTCTGAAAAGAAAGCCAGACCCATTCGATATGACAGGATGCTGAGAATGGCGATTCCTCTATTTTATGGAGTGCCATTGCGTAGTCAAGGACTCCTTATCATTTTTCATTTCAAGGTCTTCAGCCAAAGAGCAAAGAAGACTGTTGTTTGCCAAGTCCTCTAGATGCTTTTGCTCCATCAGGCAGTAATATCAGTCATTACTGAGGACAAGAGAGACTGTTGTGGCTACAGTCTATTATCTCATACTGAAAGTAGTGCTGGAGCTGGGAGAAAGAAGGGTGACGGACATGCTCACCAGAGTCATAAGCAAACATTTACTTGCTTGTTTTGCCCTTATTTTTTACTTCTCATTTTCAAGCAGGCTGCCTGCATCCAGTCCCAGTCAGAGTTCAGATTATCGTCTTTAAATTTCCCTTTTCATTCGTCCATTGGAAGAGATAATAAATAGGAAATTCCGCATACCCTAACCCTACAGTGGCACCTCTGTACAGTGTCTGTGCTGGAGTGCATTTGCCTCCCATTCCCAGGAGCAGAAAATCTTTCACAAGGGAGGAGGCCCCTTGTTGTGCATGGGTGCTTTTCATGTCAGTCCCTTCCACCCAGTGGATGAGGCGATTCCCATCACTGTGTTTCAAGACTTCATCCTCCATATATTTTTGCATCTAAACCAAAAGGCTAGCTTTTACTGAGATTAAAACCAGCACTGAGACAGGGGCCAGTATTAGCACTAAGCTAAGGCAGTCACTCTTGCAATATGCATGTCATGCAGAGTTTCTTTTCAGGCAGTGAGCTTACCTGCAATGAGTTTTCCTCAGCTTGGGGTGGTATCTGGGCATGCTCTCTGCCCATGATGACTCTAGAGCTGCGTGCATATTCTGCTGACTCACATTTTTTTACCTTGCACACACAGTCTGAATTGTAAATGCCTTCCTATAGCTCCAGTTCCAACAAATGCAATTATGCCACAACTTAAATGTGATTTTATTTATGTGTAAAATATTTTTAAAATAAGCAATTACACTACACACTCTTCAGTCTGCCAGGGGACTAGCTTACAAGCATAGTTGTTCTAGTGCTCAGTATTTTAGTTTGAAATGCCATCTGAAAACATTTGCCCATAGGGTTCATATATTGTTGTTGTGATTTGTTGTGGTCCTCTATTTTATAGTGACTTGCAAGCAGATTAAACATCTATCCTCTTGCCTTTTGCTGTGCCCTGAATGTTTGTGTTCTAACAAAGAATAGAGACATTTTTCCTACTGCTATGAATTAACCACTTACTTAACCCACATTCTCTGTTACAAATTAACCTGTTCATTAATGCTCTAGGCCACAATTATGTCAGGAAGTACAATGAGTTTGAATCATGAAAACCCACAACCTCGTAACCAGCTGGGAAGACAAGCCAGCTTCCAGGAAAGAAGTTCTGTAAGGCCACATTACAGTCAAGCTACTCGTAGCAACACATTGCCATCAGATGTGGGGAGAAAGTCCATGGTTCTGAGAAAATTTAAGCAAGAAATGAAAGAAATCATGTCACCAACTCCTGTGGAGTTACACAAGGTCTGTAATTTTTCTTCTGACAACTTTGAAATAATATATTCAGTACAGGGAATCTAATTATATGGCAACACAGTAAGCACTTTTTATAATGACTCCACAGATATAATTTGGGGGCCATGCATATTAGTTCTTACAAACACATTAATGATAGACCCTTGTGGGGGGAAACAAACAAATAAGATGCATCCTTGTCTACTATTTCATTTTACAATAAATCCTCAAAAGGCACTGCTCTTTTGAAAGGAACATCCAGTGGTAATTTGAATTGACAAGACCAATAACTCTTCTCTGCAAAATGTGTTCATTAAGAAAGCAAAGTTTAATTTTTAGAAAATACATTTCTTTAGAAATTACTCTTGAGGGTTTGGGGCTCCCATTGGTCTTTTTTCAAATTAACACTCATTTTGAATCAAATACATGAGACTTGATGTACATAATATAGAATGTTATTTCAAATTAGATATTGCTTCTTTCCTCTTTATAATTCCTTTGCTCTAAAAAGGATAAATAATCTTCAGTCTATGCAGCGTTTCACTGCTCAAGTCTGTTGAAATCACCTGGTGATATGGAAGTGGCTCTGTACCCCAAGGAAGCACTGGATAAAGTATCTTTAGATGTGCACAGCAAATACCCTGCAAGTTTAAGTCTCAAGTCCAGAGAGGCCATAACAGAACCAATTTCCAAAACCTTGAGGGACATTATAATGCTGTTCTCCTTGAGGGGAATGAGCATCTCATTTCCTGCACTCATCTTCCCATTAAAAGTCCGAGATCTTTCCAGGAGGCAGAAGCATGGAGAAATTTCATTAAGACATCACATGTGGCCACTCTCAAGAGATTTGGTTTGGTTTCTAGTCACTGCAGATTTGACTGAGTTGAGTTTGTAGTTCATTCAATTTAGTTCAGTAAGGTAAGGACTCACTGAGTATGGGCTAAATGAATGTTTGTAGAAGGTAGTAGAGAATTGATCTCATATATGGTAAATGAATTCATTGTCCATGTAAAGAACCAATAGGATGTGTTTAATGGTTTAAGCTATTCATATTTCCAGCTTGATGTGAAGTGATTAATGGAGTTAGTTACTGTGCTCAGTTTTCCTGAGTGGTGAATAAATGTGAGATATAAAACAAAAGTACGCCAGTAGTCGTTTCATAGCGTGTTCACATTCAGCAAAGGCACAGTTTTCTCCTATGGATTATAAACCCAGCCTTTCAGGATAAAATAAATCCTTTTCTGGAAAGGAGTCATCAGATTTCTGTTAATGAGTCAGTGGTATTCTGTGATAGTAGCTAGCTCTTAAGAGTCCTGAGCAGTACAAAATACCCTGTCCTTGAGCTTCCTATGGCTTCAGTTGAAGCCACTATTTTTAAGATTGCTTTGACCTTCCATTTTAGTAATTCCCAGTTTTCATTCAGACAATATACCCACTTCTGTCTGCTGAAGTCATGTCAAGTTTGCTTTTACTGTCTGTTTTGTCACCCAGGAAAAAGTAATTTCTTTTCTAAAAATCTAAAAGTTGAACTGCTAACAAGGATTTTCCAAATCCTTACAGTCATTCAAGAAAAATAGAAACTAGTGACTCAATCTTATGGTCTGATTCCCCAAAGTAGGCTTGTTACCCCTATGATCACACATGCAGGTTAACTCATGGACTGCTTTTGTATTCATGCCCATCTTAGCAAGTTCTTACTTGTTAGTTTTCTTACTGGTTCTTGTGTAGCAGTGAGCCTGTTACTTTCTCTCTCCTTCATTTTTGTATTAGACCTGTAGAGCTCTAGTTTAATAACTGTACAGTTGCTACTTCTCATGGACAGCTTGTCCAATGATAGTTTTCAAAAAGAGCTGCAATGCCACAGGAATGACTTCAATCAGGGAAATGCTTTGATAGAAGTATTTTTTATGTATCGTCTTGCTGGCAAATGTGCTTTGCCCTCTGCAGGCAAATGTCTTAATTAGCTGGGCCACTGACAAAAATAGGAAGTTTTGGAGAACTCTAATGGGTATAAACAGTTCTGAAATACCAGCTAAGACATAGCTTGCCTAAGACTTACCTTGGCAAGCTTTTCAGTCATGTACTTGACTACGTGCTGCTGAGCTTTCCCAGTTTCTTGGGCAGGAACCTTTGTTCTCTCTCGGTGCAATGATTCTGCATCCCTAGAGTCAGGGCCTGTGTGCCCCATAGATCAGAGTTCAGTGTGCAGCAAGTTAACCTGAGTTCTTCACTTGCTCTTTCTTAGTTCACTGCATTGCCTTCACCAGTTGTGCATTTGAACTGTCTTTGTCCTGAGGAAGCTAGGATTGAGATAAGTGTGGTACAAATCTCTTCAAACATTTGTGCTAGATGGTTTAATAAGTAATAAGTAGCATGTAATTTAGTTGGATAGTGTATTGCCATATCAGTACCCAAATTTAATGAATGCATTTAATTGATTTTATCTACTTAGGTAATAATATAGATTAATATTTTTCTAAAAATCATAGCAGACCATTTTTTAAGTTTCATAGAGCACACATTCCTCTGAGAACAAAAATATGCACTAGGATCAGATAATTTTTCAATATTATTATTGCAAGTAGTCATTAACCTAAAATTACAGGCAGTTAAAATATCTCAATAGCTGATCTGTGCAAGATGTATGAATTTAAATTAAGCATTTTCCCATAGATTTGAGAGGGAGAAGAGGTACAAACACAGACTCAAAATGTGTAAGCTTCTGTTTTAAATTTGTAACTATTTAATTGCTTATGAAATATGAATTAAATTTCCATTTCAGCTTTCGTTTTCCCTTAGGCTCCTGATGTAAATTTAAAAGTCTAACAGATCATCCAAATGGAGATTTTGCTATTGAGATCAAACCTTCCAAAGAGTTATGATCAGCAGTCCAGATAAACTAGCATGATTTAGGTGTTGCATGCAGCTATATTCCCTTCAGACAGGGCTGTTGCAAGTGAAGATGAGAAACCTGTGTGATAGGGCTTTGCCCATACCCATTATTAAATAAAAATTGAGTACTTCAGATAGCAGAGCTGAGATTTCCTTTGAAGAATATATGCTACCCTAAAAAGAAGTAGCCCCAAAAGATAACCAGTAATCCAAAAGAAAGTTCTCTGCAGATGACTTCCATCTAAAAAATGTGACAGCTGTCAAACATGCAACAAAGTTAAATTCCTACCTCATCTCTTAAGTGAATAAAGATCAGTTTCTTTAAGCTCGTGTTAAATATACCAAAGTCGAGAAGATATCCATAAGGAAAACAGTTTTTAAAAATTTAGGATCCGTAGATCTGAAGAACCACAAAAATGAGAAAGTATTTTGAAATATAAAAGATGTGATTGTGGGGCAGTGAGTAATTCCCTTCCAGAGTGCTCAGTCCCTATAAATCAGGAAAGTCCAACCTGAACAAGTGGAGGGCAATAAAAGACGTTGGATGATCATTCTCAAGTTCTGTGCCCTTCCTTGTCCCCTGCCTCCCCCCCCCCCCCATTGCAGTAACTTCCCACTTTAATGCCCCTTATAATTTTAAATGCTACATTTTTTGTCTCACAAGGTGGACATGAACTAGCATGTCCATTATTATAGACAAGGCACAAGTTAAGGTGAGCTGATGTTGAATAGCTCTTCCTAATAGATCTCTAGAGCTGAATTTATGTGTGTTTTGTTTGCTAATAGATCACTCACTAAAAACCAGGAAAAAAAGCAACACTGTCATAGAACATATGAACATATGAATGAAACTGCCATTTGTGGTGAATTGTTCTCCACTCCAGCTTGGCCTTAAGAAGGTTTTGACTGGAATAGTGTCCAGTTTGGGGTATGAAAATCAAAGAAAGATGTTGAGCATCTGAACAGAGTCCAGAGTAAAACAAGCCTTATTTCACATCACTGAAGAGAGAATAAAGCTTCAACAAGGGTGATTTAGTTTAGACCCAAGGAAAACATCTGAAGCAATGAAAGGGATTACTTTAATAGACTGTGGAGTCTCCATCATTAGAGATTTTAAAAAGCAGGGCAGATAAATCTCTCTCGGAAATGGCTTAGGTGCAGTTGATCCTGCCTTAGGACAAGAACACAGTCTAGATGACTTCAGAGAGTCCCTTGTCTCATATGCTTTTGTAGTTCATCTGGGGCTGGATCCAGCTCCACTTGACTCTGGTGCCTGAAGAAAGGGGAAGGGGAAAAGAAAAGGAGTAAGTGAAAAGGGGAAGTTTCTTCCCTTTTGAAAATTGTTTATCTGTGCTAGAACAGTACAGAACATTTTAAGTCTTCTGCTCTTAGACACTGTCTTCCATTTCCTCATGTACTTTTCAAGGCTTCCTTAAGAAGCCTTGAAACACTCCTATCCTTTGTGATGGTGAGGAAAAAAAACTTTGTTCGAAGAGAATTTGGGTCTTGGTCCAGTGCTAATTATTTTTAATTTCTGCCAGGCAAGTGCACACAAATTTGTCAGTAAAATATATCTCCCTCTTTATCTTTTTTTTTCAATCTCGCAGAATGGTGGCCTTACAGTACTTCGGTAGCAGCTTCAAATATACTTCACATCAAAGCCATGTTAGATGTGCTCTGATATCACGATAGATGTGCTCTGTTCATAACAAATCATTAGAATTTCTCCAGAGTCCTGCTGCTATAGTAGCTGTTGATACAAATTAAAATCATTCTATGGTAAATTATTTTGAATTTGCAGATAGGTTTTTCAGTAGCTGAAATGCCCATTGACTCCTAAAATTCACACTGAGATGGAGGATGTATGACAGGTTCAGCAAGAAGTTACTCTGGGGGAAGACTGCAGACAAGAAGGCAAAGACCTTAAACACCACAGCCCCTAGGAAGTTTAGAATGACAGTTCATATCCAAAAAA